CCATGGGGTGAAGGGCCACAGTTGCTGCCCTTGATGAGGTCCTTGGGTAGGGCCACTAGGCCCAGCAGTGAGGGGCCCATGCAGCACCCACAGATTCGGCAGCATGTCAGAATGGAATGCTCCATGTTGGAAAAACACTTGACTGGGTAGTGCCAGAAAGGCTTGACAAAGGAGGGCGTGTGGCTTTCTTCAGGCTGGGGGACATTCCCGGCAGAGAGGAACTCCCGCTTTCCCTGTACGTGGCCAGTGAGTGGCTACAGGAACATAAGGTATGGAAGACCATGAAGACTGAGGACCCTCCACATGTCTCACACTATCAGCTGCACCACACCCCTGCAGTATTTGTAGCATAGTCCCTGTTTTCCTTATGAGGATACCAAGGCTCAGGGTGTGTTCTGGAGGAGCTGGGGTTGGGTGCCGGGTCTGTGTAACTACAGAGCTCTTCACAGCATGCCACAGGCCATCCCTCAAGAGTGGCTTTTTTTTTTTTCCTTTTTGTCTTTTTTCGTGACCGGCAACTGATCACAACCCTCAGTGTCGCGCCCGTACTGGACTGGGACCGGCAACGGGATCACAACCCTCGGTGTTGCACCCGCAACCTCGCTCAGCCAGTGAGTGGCCAGTCTGTATGTGGGATCCGAACCCTCGGCGGGAGCGCCACCGCGCTCCCAAGCGGCGCACTGTAGCAGTGCGCCACCGGGCCGGCCCCCTCAAGAGTGGCTTTAATGAAGTACAGGGACTTAGCCAAAATGTGACAGGAGGGATGGGGGGGTCTTGCTGAAGGTTCTGTAATGCTGTTCCACAGAGACTTTTAATCCGTAGTGCCATGGAAACACTCTGTTTCCCACCATGTTGATGCTGCTAAAGACTTTTTCACTAAACTGTCAGTGTCCAGACTTGAGAGTTTTCATGCAACAGCCCAGCATTTGCCTTGATCACACCCATAACAGCCTCCTGGGCCCTGCCTAAGTGGCTCGCAGAAGCTGCTGGATGTAACACTACCCAATGCTGAAATTACAGGAAAAAGAATAAAGAGGAAGTGTGGGAGATAGTTGTCTTTGGTCAAGTTCTTAAGGATGAAGAAAAAACAAACAAAAAGGTCTTAAGGATGTCCGAGATGGAATGGCAATCCATTAACAAGGTCTGGGGCAGTGTGAAGGCCGAATAGGAAGTTGGGTATGTGTTCTGCCTCCTTTTTCCAGGTTCAGGAGCATGGGTATCCCCGAGTTAAGGTCTTCCCCAGGGCTCAGGTCCCCTTGCCGTGCAGTGCGGTACAAGGCAAAGAGTTTTCACCTTTTCAGGAGACCCTAGTCCTCATCCCAGCTCCGTGTTGGCTCATGGAGGGACTGGGCTTACAGCTGCTGTGGGCCTCAGTTTACCTCTCTAGGAAGTGAGAGAGAGCTGGTCGTCACTTTCTCTTGGAGCCTCTGGTAGGTTAAGCAGACATTCCAGCTTGCTTGTCGCTGTGTCCTCATCCTTCTCCTCAATAAGCCTGGGAGCCCTCCAAGGCCACAGTAAGTCTAATGTGCCCTGAGACCCTGGCGTGGGGCTGGCTGGGTGCATGGAGGTCAGCACCTTGGATCCAGATGCGCTCCCAAGTCCTTCCACCTCTAAGGTCCGTTCCTATTTGCTCCTTGCTCTCTGTGCCTGACGCATGACACAGGGGTGCTGCTTACAGGCTTGTATAATGGTAGGCTTCCTAAGACCCCCTTGGGCTCTTCAATCATACTTTGAGACCTGGCTCCATCACTTTGGATCACTTTGAGATCCTGGCGCATGGCTTCGCCTTTCCAAGTCTTGGTTCCTTGGCTATAAAGTGGAGTAATTGATGGCCCTTCCTGCATGGATCTCAGGATTAGTGAGCAGTGCAGATAATGGCCACACTCCCTGTGAGCTGCGTAGTCTTACGGACACAGCCCAGACACAGAGAATGTAGTGACAGAGCTACAGGCTGAATGGAGGTAGCGGGGATACAGAGGATGGAGTTTCATGTGGATATGGTGACTCCCTGGGAAATGGTAGGTTTCTGGCTCAGTGGAGGAAAAGCTTTCCAGCCCACAGAGCTTCCTGTAGTGCTTGGGATGCCCTTGGGGAGGTGGATACTGAGATTTGTCTTCACCTGTGTCACGATTGGAGTGGGATTTTCCCTGAGTGACTGGCTGGCCTGGGCCAGGATTCCCTTGTCCTCGTTATTCCAAACCCCAACTCCCAGTCAGAGGGGAGACTTCTAAGCTGCTGTTCCCTCCCCAGATTTAACAACCTGTTCCCCAATGCCTTGCACAAGCTAGAGCAGTGGCCGGGGCTGGGTCTCCGTCCTGCAGCTCATCAAGTTGAGAGAAAACCTGTGCCATCTTCACTAATTCAGGGACCAGTCCCTGGAGCCCAACAGGGGTCTTCTGAGGGGGGCACAGAGGGGAAGCACACACCCTAGCCTTGCCCTCTGGACCTCAGGGGCCTCGTGGAGGAGTCACGGACCTCAGCAGCCCTGGTGCAGGACCCTCCAGACCTGGGTCTGCTTACTGCCCCTTAGTAACAGCCATCACCTGGGGCCCCACCGCGTGGGCCAGGCCCTCCTGGGTGCTTTACTTCTGTGGTTGGTCAGCAAGTCAGCTGCTGCTAGCCTCCCTGACCGATGAGTCCACAGGCATAAGGGGCTTGGCCAGAGCCATGCTGCTTGCCCCGAGCATGCACTCCGCGTTGCCACGAAGGGAGGCGGAGGGTCGTGAAGGGAGGAGGGGTTCCCTTCTTGCCAGGAGCTGAGGAACCAACGGAAGGCTGGTTCTTTTGCCCCCTCTTGGCAACTGGACCTCGCCCTTGAACCCACCTCCTCTGTTCTTTTTATTTTTCTTTTTTGGGGGGTTGGCTTCGAATTATCTTGTTTTGTTTACATTACACCCAAGTTTTGTGGTACAAAAGACTTGCAGGTGCAAATATGTCCCGCCTTCATTAACTTCCCCTCCCTTTTTAATTTATGTGATTTCAATTTTCCTTCCCTGTACTGTTAATTAGGGGACCCTCTAATCAGTGCCATTATCACAGTGGTATTCATGTTTAGGAAAGCCGCTAAACAAATGCTTGCAAAATTGCTAAATGGCTAATTAATGTCTGTTAATTAAGAAAATTGCTCATGGTAACAAACCATGCCGTTGCTGGCAGCCGCTAGAAAGACACACACTTGTTGAAATTAGTAGCGTGGCAGGTAGGAGAACATCTGCTCCTCGGAGCTTTCCGGAAGTGAACAGCCCTTCGCTTGGCCAAGAAGCTCCCAGGCCTGTCCTCAGTGGCGCCCTTGGGTCCCTGCACAGCCCCCCCCCACCCCCCGTCCTCCTCAGCACACCTCTCCTCTGGGTCTCCATGCCCATGGCCTGTGCCTCCCCCTCCCCAGCTCTGCACCATCTCCTGAGCGAGCAGGAGGCTGGCGGTCTGGCTTTGAGGGAGAAGGCTGAGGAGGAAAACGCTACCTGTGCGTCTCCCTCCCTTGTTTTAATGTAGCCACACCCATCTGCCATGCTCATTTTGGATTTGACTCAGAAGTGGCTTCCAAGGATAATAGCACAGTCCTGGGTGGAGAAGAATGACTTGGGGCCTGGCCCAAGCCCGAATGGCCGGGTGGGCTGGGAGGCAGGTTCTTCACACCTTGTGACTGTGGCCCACAGTAGGAGATTCCTTTGGCATTGCGCCCCGGTCTGCACACATACATGTGTATTTACACATGTAATAGAGGTTCCTGAAAGATAGCTGCCTTAAAACATATAAAGCTTGATATATATATTTTTTATTGTTTTAGAATTTTTTTTTTTTTAAAGATGACCGGTAAGGGGATCTTAAACCTTGACTTGGTGTCGTCAGCACCATGCTCTCCCAAGTGAGCCACGGGCCGGCCCTATTGCTTTAGAATTTTTAAAACTAATAGTTGCAACCCACTAAACTGATTTCACCACCCACTGATGGGTTGGCACCCACAGTTTGACCAACCGCATGTGGTTTAGGTGAATCATCTGCCCATCTCTTCTGGTGGAGTCGAGGTCAGCATAGCCCAGGGCTTCAGGGTCAGCTTGGAACTGGTATGGAAAGCCAGCCCCTCCTCCCACCTGCCCACCCAGCATGCGGGAGTCTCCAACCCTTTCCCCCCAAGCCTCTCACGTGCCCTGCCTCTGCTCACCTCTGGGCTGCAGGGGGGACCGAGCCTTGGGCCCCTCGGCTGCTTGTCCTGGCTGCCACTTACCAGTTGTATAGCCATGGCCATGTCCCTTCATCCCCCGGGACTCAGTTTCCTCCTTGGTGAAAATAGGAATGAGAAGCCCACCTCACAGGGCTGGTTTGAAGTGCGGGTGAATTCATGAGCCACAGAGCCCCACTGCGCTACCGGCCGTCGTTCCCCTCTTGTTCAGGCTGTGGTGCCATCTTGCTCCCCCTGCCTCTGTTATTCCTCCGTCAGTGCCCCCTGCCCTGCTCCCCCGGCAGACTAGTCACGTGGGCTCTCACTAACCCTTGATTAATCCCGTCTTGAGTCACTGTCCCCCCAGACTGTAAGCTCCTTGAGGGCAGGACCCTCCCTGGTTCTTCCCTGCCTCCCCACAAGTGGCACTGACACACTGCATTGGGGCCAGGTGCGTAGCGCACCCTGTTTCTGTGTGTCACTGTGGTTCTCTGAGCCTGTCTCAGCCAACGTATTTAACATGGCAAACTCCGCTCAAATGGTAGGCTGTGTCCGGGACCTTACTCCTGTGTGCTTTGACAAAGGTGCTTCGTTTTATTTTTTGTTCTTCCGAATCCCCTGTGAATGTATTATCAGCTTCTCTCCCTCCTGCTCGCCGTGTCACACCATTGAGCCGGCGACCCAAGCAGCAGCTCTCCCACCTCCCCGCCAACCAGAGCCCACCCACCCGCACGCCCGCCGCCCACTCTTCGTTTTGGTTTAATTTTTGTTCTTTTAAGCTTCTTCTGCGCTTCTCCATGTGCTGTGATCTATAACCTGCCTCTACTGTCTGGCCTCACAGGGTCCTCCGGGGTCACAGCCCTCGCCGCACGCACAGCCTCCACCTCACAATCCTAGCAGCATGATGGGACCCCACAGTCAGGTAACGCACTGTGGCTCGCCCGCCCGCCGGGGGGCGCGGGGCGCGGAGGAAGGAGCGAGCCAGCAGAGGAAAAACAAAAATCAAAATGTGCTCTTGCCTTGCCTTCAAGTCTCTCTGGACAAATGAAATTTTAAGAAAACAATTTTTTCTCTAAAGATAGTCTTCATTCCTTGGACATCACACCCAGCTTGGATAAGAAACCAAAAGAAAAGCAAAAATATTTCTGTGACCTTGTCAGTGGCCTTTGCGTTTTTGTTTTTTCCTCTCCCACCTTTGGTTGGTTTTTGAGTTTGGTTAACCATTTGTTTGTAACCAAAGCTGCATCCCAAGCCTTTTCTTTGTGCACTCTTGCTGCTGAGAAAGCTTTCTTGCCCATTCCCCCGCATTAAGTTAGGGAGCCCGCTGTCCTCTCACTGTCTTCCATGGTGTTTTCCCCCCTTAAATCCTCACCCCTTCCCACCCCTCTCTGTGGGTGGTTTCTCTGTGCGTGCGTGTGTGCGTGCGTGCGCGCCTTTCCAGCTTTGTCTGCAAACCCTTAAAATGTTATGTGTAAGTCCTTATTCTTTTTTTTTTTTTTTTTGCCCTTACCCAGAGCAGAGGTTTCCTCCTCTGCCCTGTATTGATTTAACTGTTCTTCCGCATTCTGTGCAAAGTCCCATCTGCTGCCCCTCCTCCCAAACTAGATCTCTGCCAACAAATGCGGAGTCGGGGGACCCATTTGTTGTATAGATCTATTGTTCCCTCTGCCCGAAGGAAGTTTTGCCTGGAGGGAAGAGGCTACCAGGAGAAAGAGAGCTTAAAAGATCGCTAGTTGTAACGAAACTGGACTTTGTGGAGTGAAGAGCATTTGTGTTTGTCACTGTGCAGTATTGCAGGCTGTCATTGAACTAATTCCCTGTGATTGCAGCCTTTTATGTCACCGCGATACGCAGGCGGCCCCAGGCCCCCGATCAGAATGGGAAACCAGGTACTGTACCTTTTTGTGTTCTTTCTTTCCTCACTCAGCCATCCTTGGCCCTAGATGGACTTCAACTCAAATCACAATTTGGGGAAAGGATTGAGGGGTAGAGGGACAGGTTTTAACGTGTGGGATAGCACCAGCAGGTCCCCAGAAAAGGCCCTGTGTTTGCTCTGTGTCCATGGGGAAGCGTTTCCCCTGCCCCTCCTGGTGGGCTTTGGGCAGCCCATTCTGGAGTTGGGAGGGCAGCTGGAGAAGCAGCCTGGGTGGGATTGCAGGGTTTCGGCTCTTCTAGAGAAAGTGGTAATGCCCCTTCCAGCCACTTCTTGGAAAAGGGTCTTCCTCTTTAATGAAGTTAATTGACAATGCGCATTTTTCCTGGAAGCTTTTGAGAATTGCCAAGGCTGGTAAATATAATCCTGCTATTAGGGGAAGAAATGGCCCATAGGAATGCTTAGATCAGGAGCCTGGATGCAGCAGAGCAGGACGTTGTGAGTTTTTAAGCAACATCTGCCTGCTTCCCAGACCCAACTCAAAACAAGAAAGGATTTGTTCGTGTAATTATAAAAGTGGTCTGCTTTCGGGGAGGGCATTTTAGCCTGGGGTCGTATGCCTTATGCCAGCCCATTAGGGTTGGCAATTCTAGGTGGTCTGGAGAAATCAGCCCCCACACTGCCCTCTCCAGTTCAGCCCATCTAGGGGCAGGGGAGGAGCTGGAGAGGTAAAGATGAATAGACACCTCTTTTGAGAGTAGACAGACCTAAAAGAAACTTTAAAAAAAAAGTCAGGGAAATTTCTTTTCATGCCAAAATATTTTTTAACAGAATTCTTTCAGTGACTTTGCAAAAGCCTTTCAAAAAATCTGGCAGCGAGGGCCGGCCCGGTGGCACACTGCTACAGTGCACCGCTTGGGAGTGCGGCGGCGCTCCCGCTGAGGGTTCGGATCCCACGTACAGATGGGTTCCCACTCACTGGCTGAGCGAGGTGCGGGAAAAACACCGAGGGTTGCGATCCCGTTGCCGGTCCCGGTCCGGTACGGGGGCGACACTGAGGGTTGCGATCTGTTGCCGGACACGAAAAAAGACAAAAAGGAAAAAAAAAAAATCTGGCAGCGATACCAGCGCATCTAGCCCTTGTTGCCTTTGGAGCAGGGAGTTTAGTCACCACCTCAATTGGTGTTATCTGACTATGATTCTTAGTGTTCTTGAGGCTCTGCAAGAAAGCCCCTGAGTGAAATGATGCAGATGCTCATAACCAGGGGCCTCCAATTTTAATGTTAAATTGCCTATCAGGTTTCCACTTTTTTTTTTTTCTCCAAAAGTCCTTTGTTTCCTGTTTTCTCTGACACAAAAGGGAATTAGAGACCCAGTTTTTTGAGCATGTGGGGACTCTTGGATGAAGGTCAGAGTGGAGGAGTGACTTCCCAAAGTCTCTCAGTGAGCTGGGCTTGAGTCAGTCACCGGCTCCCAGCCCAGTGCTATGTCTGCTCTCCTCCCACCCCACCCCATTCACTGTACTTGCACGGTTGTAGGATTGTTGCCCCTGCCTTAGTTTTTAACCCTTCACCAAGGCGGCCTCCTTTGCTCTTGCACAGCGGCCTTCCCTCCTGCCCATCCCGGGGCTGTCCTTACCCCAAACTGGCCTCTGCTCCAGGGAAAGAGCACATAATTCCTTATCGTAATCGTGGTCCTTCCTCCAGCAATTAAGGGACATGAAGAGGGAATGTGTATATTTCTGTTTAACAATTAAGCATGAGCAAGTACCCCAGAGAGCAAATGGAGAATAAATCCATCATCTGTACCTTGCATTACAAACCCAATTTCCCAACCTCCCTGTCACCCTCCATCAGAAATCTACACTGATTTTCCAGGTTCCTGTGAACTTAAGAAATTCTTGTTCTCCAAGGAGGAATGTGCCCCTTGCACAGGCATTGCCCTTGGGGCTTTCTTGGAGAGTGTCTCAGTTGGAGCTGCCAGTTGCACAGAAGCCTCTGTGCCACCTGAGTTAACTCAGTTCTCACAGGTGGACTTGCTTAGGCCCAGGCTCGTTCTAAGTGCACCTCCTGGGTGAGGGTGATGAAAAGGCACTTCAGGGAACAAGAAGCTAAGGGTCATTGATCATTGATTTGGCCTCAAGGTCTTGCAAGGCCAGCTTCCCACCTGCCTCCCCAGCTAGAGGTTTGGGGCCATTTTTCAAGCAAGGGTGATTGGATGGGTGGTGGGCAGTGGGGTTCAGCTGGGTTTAGGAGAGGAGGGTCTGGGGTCCAGGACTGTCAGCCCTCCCATGCACAGCTCAGTGAGCTCCCACCTGGCCTGGCTGGCTGTCCCACAGAGCAGGTGGGAGAACATGCAGATGCAGCCAGGATTTGTCCGTTTCCTGGACAGATGCTTCCTATGCCTTGCCCCACAGTGCTCAAGGAGAAGAGCTGACCTCCTTCCAGGAGCTCGTGTGATGGCCACAGAGCATCTCCTTCCCCTGTGGCCTGGGGGTGTGTGCCCAGCGCACGCTTATAGTCCCGTAGGCGAGATGTCATTTTTTTTCTTTCCTGTGGTGACGTATCAGCCTTCTCAGTGCGAGACCCTTTCTCCTTGGTCATTGCACACCTTCTTTTCCTTCTAGGGGAGGCCAGACTGTCCTATCCCCATCTCAGGACCACCCCAGTAAGGAAAGTGGCTCCCAGGTCCCCTCTGAGCCTGTGGACAGCCCAGCTTTTCTCCTGGAGTCCTGACATAAAGTAGGGTTAGGGGAAGCCAAGGAGAAGCTTTCTTTCTTTTTTTTTTTTTTTCCTTTTTTTGTCTTTTTTACTGACCGGTAACGGGATCGCAACCCTCAGTGTCGCGCCTGTACCGGGGACCGGCAACAGGATCGCAACCCTCGGTGTTGCGCCCGCACCACGCTCAACCAGTGAGCGGGAACCGGTCTCCACATGGGAGCCGAACCCTCGGCGGGAGCGCCTCCGCGCTCCCAAGCGGCGCACTCTCCAGTGCACCACCGGGCTGGCCCCAAGGAGAAGCTTTCTAAAGGAACTGGCAGTCAACATTGGGCTACCTGGGGAGGAAATGATTGCCCAACTCCCATGGCTGTGCCTTTGGGGAGGTTGGGGGTCATCCTGCACTGGGTAACTCATGACCCTGGAGGCCCCCCCACCCACCTCAGCATCTTGGGAATCCCCCATTCTAGACAGCCTCAGTGGCAGGCCTTCCTGGGTCCTCTCAGTTCTGTAACCAGCCTCTAAAAACGCCAAGCCCCCTTTGGGCAGACACAACCAGCTGCGTGATTCCGAACTTGGGAACCCAGGGTGAGGAAGTAGAGCTGAGGGAAGGAGAGAGGATGAAATCGTTAAAATCCAAGGATTGGGAAGACAGACTCTGAGCACCCCCAGGCAGGTGGAAACAGCAGCTGCCAAATGCCACTTGGTGGACATCAGGGACTCCTCAGGCTCTGGTGCTGTGTGGCCCTCAGGCAAGCCTCCCCGCCCTAGCCACACACCTCCCCCATTTCATTCTGAAGCCAGGGAATACAGAGGATTTGTTCCTTCGTTTCCCATCACTTCGTTCCAAAACCTGATTGGAGGTCACTGTTGGGCAAGGGGCTGGAGGCCCTCAGGGACAGACTCCTTGGCACAGATGCCCAGCCTCTCAAGCTCTGGCCCCTGCAGGTGGGAAAGGGAGCCCTGTCTCCAAAGGCTTTTTCCCTTCAAAGGTGAGAGCTGTGTTTAGTCCTGAGGGATGGGGCCCTAGAAGTAAATGTTTCCCCCCAGCTGCTACTCCTCTCTTTTTTCAAATTGCAGCTGAAATAACCTCAGTCCCAAGTAAATGACTTTTAATAGGTTTACACAGCAGGTGTGCCAAGTGTTCACCCAGGAACCTGTGGCCCCCCGTTCTTGCTTTCTTAATAGCAGCCACACCAGCATCCACCACTTTCGCCAGGCCCTGGAGAGCAGGCTCTCTTTCAGCACCCCTGGCTCTTCTCCACGTAGCCTCCTCTTCACCCCCGGGGTTGGAAGGTGGCATTCTGTGTGGTGACAGTTAGTACACCTGGGTGCTTGCTTTCATGGCTCTATTATTATAGAGGCCCTTGAGCCTCTGATCTACAGTTTCCCAATCTAAGTCTCAAAGGCCGGGCTGGCCAGTTAGCTCAGTTGGTTAGAGTGCAGTGTTATAACACCAAGGTCAAGGGTTCAAATCCCCATACTGGCCAGCCGCCAAAAAAGCCACAAATCTCACAAACCTCTTCATGCCCTGTTCCCCTTAAAAAGGGTTTCTTCCCACGATGGTAGGATTTAGCTAGTGGGTCTCTCAGTCCCCATAATTTGGAGGGAGAGATAAAAAGAATTACATCTCTGGGCCGGCCCGGTGGCGCACTGCTACAGTACACCGCTTGGGAGCACGGTGGCGCTCCCGCCGAGGGTTCAGATCCCACATACAGACCGGTTCCCGCTCACTGGCTGAGCGAGGTGTGGGGGCAACACCGAGGGTTGCGATCCCGTTGCCGGTCCCGGTCCGGTACGGGCGCAACACTGAGGGTTGCGATCCGTTGCCGGACACAAAAAAAGACAAAAAGGAAAAAAAAAAATGAATTACATCTCCATGAAGCAAAGGACAGGTAGGGTTTGGGCAGGTGGGAGGGAAAGAGTACTGCTGCCCCTGAGAGGGGTGTGGCAGGCAGTGCAGCCAAAGTGTGACCTAGAGAATGTTCCTGCCTCATTTCAGGGCTCTGATAGGTGCAGAGACCGCCGAAGACAGCAGGGTGGGGAGATGGTTGTTCTCCCACAGACAAAACCCCAATCCCCACCACCACCACCACCGTGCTGCAGTTTTAGCTAACACTAGCTCCCACTGACTGCTGTTCCCTGGAGGACCTTCCCCAGCCATGATTGGCCCCGAAGGGTCAGGTGGGGAACTAGGTGGGACAGGCAAGATGAATCTCCTTCCAGCCACCAGCTGTGGGGAGACACCACTCACCCGTGTCTCACGTCTCTTCCAGCCTCCGGGAGGAGTTCCTGGGACACAGCCATTGCTGCCCAATTCCATGGATCCCACGCGACAACAAGGTAGAGAGGGCGGGCGGGGCGGGGGTGTTGGGAGGGGCGCCTCGTCTCTCTACACCTGCCGTGTCACGACTCACCTGCTCTGTCACTCAGGCCACCCCAACATGGGAGGATCAATGCAGAGAATGAACCCTCCCCGAGGCATGGGGCCCATGGGTCCTGGCCCACAGGTAACCAGCCAGTCTGTCTGTCCATCCACCCCAGTCACTGTGTGCACCTACCTTCCCTCCTCTTTCCATGGTCTGTCAGTCTTCCATGGCTCTCCGCTCGCAGGGGGACAGAAAGGGCGGCACCCACAGTAGGCCAGCCCCACACACAGCCAGGAGCAGACCTTTGGCAGGCCGCGAGCCATTTTGGAGGACCCCCAGGGAGTCTGAGAAGGGAGGTATTTGGGGAACCTGCTAGTTGGCAGCCCTTTCTGGGGTGGAGTGTTCTGGCATGGAGTTTGAGGAATTTGAAGGGCAGAGGGTCTGGTGCCCCAAGCCATGGCATCCAGGAATCCCAAAGCTGACCCCCACCCTGGGTGGTGTAGACTCAGGATGGCTCAAGGGCCATAGTTCGTTGTGACCCACAGGGCAAGTAACTGGCATTCCTAGTTCTGCCTGCGACTCACCATTTGTCTGTCCTTAGAGGAATACCTTTGACCTCAGTGGGCCCCAGCAGGCCTGTTTCCCCACCTGTCAAATGAGGGGTGAGCCATGGTTCTTGGGGGCAAGAGGAGGCCAGGCTGCCATGTTCTCTAGCACCCACTTCTTCCCAGAGCCTTAGCCAGCTTTATATACTAGGCTCCTCCCTAAGATTCCTTCTGACCAGAGGGCTCCGTTGCCTAAAAGAGCAGTTTAGAAACTTCTGGAAGAAATTATGTCAAGTGCCCTGTATCCTTCTTTACAATTATACCAAAGAGGTCGCCACTTGTGACCCAGCTGCACACCCCACAGAGCAGGACTATCCAGGCAAGGGACCGACAGGCCATTCCGACTCTGGAACCTTCTCACAGTTGCTGTCACCCCTCCAAGTATTTGAACATGGCCATTTCCTGCAGTAACCATAGCAGAGAGTTTGCCATATTCCACCCTCCTGAGAATTCTCTAGAACCTATCTAAAAGAAGCTAGTAATCTGAAAAAGGGGAGGGTTTTGTTTTAGTGTGTTCCTTCCCTTCTTTCCTCCCTGCCTAGAAGTCTGCTTTGCCTGTCTCTCCGTCCCTTGCTTGTAGGTGTCTGGGATCCTCTGGGCCCCTCCGCAGGTTTCCCCCACCCCCACACACACGTGCTTCCTTTTGTAGGGAGCGGTGTCTGCCCCACAGGCCCACAATCCTCGGCTCCATCCCAGATTTGTAAACCCAGCTCCCCGCTGCTTCCTTCTCAGTGGTGGTGGTGGTGGTGGTGGCGGTGGGAGCATCTGTGGTGTTGAAAGATTTTAGGGAGGGCCTTGTCTTCTGCTGGCCCCATAATCCTAAAAGGAAGCAAGCCCACAGCAGTTACAGCTCCGGCGTCCTTGTTTTCTTCCTTCCTCAAATCCCCCAAAGCCCATGTTTTCACCAGCCCTGTTTCAGCCGCCAGCTTCCTGCCTGGTGGCCGTCTTGAGCTGACCTCTGCAGGGCTGCTGCCTGGCCAGGGAACCCAGGCGGGGGCGGGGGCTGGGTCTGAAAGCAGTGCGTCCCCTCGTGAGTCAGAAGTGGCTCTCAGTCCCCTCAGCCTGTGCGGTAGTCACACATTCTTGGTGTAGAAATCATCAGCGGCCTTGGAGTTTCATAATGCCACGTCCCTTGCAAGTCTGGGTGATTTAGGGAGATGGAATCCAATGGGGGGTGGAATTTAATTCCACTGCCCACCCATGTGGATTCTCAGAGGCTCAGCAGCGGCATCTGTCAAATGGGAATAAGAATGGTACCTGCCTTGCAGGGTTGCTGAAAGGAAGGCGGACGAGTCCTTGGCCTGGTGCTTGACACAGGGTGGCCCCCCCTTGGTTTCTAACTTTGGGGACTTAATACCAGTGTTCAGGACTTTGGTTGCTCAGGGTTGGTGATTCCCTTTTTTTTTTTTATTTCCGCTTGGCGAAGTCAACAGTTTATTAAACCTGTAGTAATATTAAGATTCTAGAAGCTGGAATGGATGTTATCGGACTGTCTGAGAGCAGAGTGTTCCGGAAGTTTAGGACTTCCTCCTGGCACGGGGGGTGCTTCGTCATGTCAGTGTTTCTCACCAGCAGTCCAGCGTGCTCTTTCGGTGCACTTGGAAGAGGTGAGGGTCCCGGAGGCTGAGGTCTTGCTGGAAAGGGCCTCCTGGGCCCGTTGAGAGCCGAGCAGTACACAAGTGGGGGGCTCCCCTCAGGCCCCAGGAGCATCCCCGAGGGCGAGGGAGATCCCAGTAGGGAGTTAGGTTGCGTTTGGCCAGTGACCTCTCCACAGCATTCTGAACAAAGAGGAGGTACGGTGTGGTCCATGGATTTCAAAACCAAATGGAGTGACATTGCAATTTTGAGCCTATGCTGTGTTTCAGCCTAAACATCCCAGAGGAACCAGTGACACACGCGTCACCCTGTCCTTTTCCCTGAGTGCCTCAGACAGTTTTTACTCTGGTTTTGTGAAGTGCCAATGCCAAAAAGGAGATAATACTTCCATTTCATCATGTTTTCTCTAAAAAATACTGTGTCGGTGTCAGGCATAACCTTTTGTCCAGGTGTTTCGAAAGTGAATTCTTTTAGACAAGGCTAAAGCTGTGGGGGCTCCTGGTCACACGCAGGTGGGGAGAACCAAGACCCCATCAGAAGTGCTGCAGCTGCAGACCCCGCAGCCACCATCCCTCGGCCCTTTTGGTGTTCGGATTGGGGCAGGGGTCAGCACAGCCTGGAGTGGCATCACCATCCCCTGGCTTGTGTACCTTTGAGAAAGTTCAGATGAAGGAGGATTCGTCACCCCCAGGGATGATCCTGTGCCACCTAGGAGAAAGTGAGTCTCCTGGGGCTCCCTGCTAGTCCAGGTCGAGTCCAAGCTCAGTGCCTCTGAGTGGAGTCCACAGAAAGAGATGGAAGGATCATTAATCCTGGTCCCAGGGCACCCTAGGGTCTGGGTGAGGAGGGTGTGGGGCACTTGGAGGAACTTCCCTGGGTAGCCCCTTGGAGGCCTCCCAGTGTGGGATGACGGGGCCCCCACATGATTAGAGGGAGGCGTGGCAGGCTGCCCAGAAACCGCCCAGACAGCCTCAAGTCCACTCTTAGAGATGAGTCCTAAAGACTAGACAGCTCTTCCCCTATTTCAAGGTAAACATGGCACTGGGTTGGGCCACAGGCAGCACCAGGAAAGAGCTCCTCTGAGGAGGTCATGGGAAGTAGCAGTAGCACTCCCCCGCAGGTCCAGCCCCTTCTAGAAGCTTCTTGGTGCCTTCCCGTGGAAGAGCACAGTGCTGAAACTGAGAAGGTAGGGGGCCTGCGTTGCTCCTGACTATGGACCAGACCCCTCTGTCCAGGATCTGGGACACACATGTGGGTGAGGGTAAGAGACACCCCGTGCGTGTGTCCCCACCCACAACTGCATGGGGACTCCTCCCTTCTGTCCAGCTGCCCCTGTCCCTGCTGAGCAGAGCGGATGGCAGATGAAGGGGGAGCTTCTGTCAGTAGCCACACCTTGCACAGCTTCACCGTGGTCACCTCCAGCAGCCCAGTGCCACAGGCAGGCAGGAGCTGGGAGGAGAGGGAACCCGTGTCTACCCGGGCTCTGAAACCACACTTCTGAGGTTTCCAGCCATATGTGAAAAGGCTGGTGTTTCTGATTTGAAAACTTTTCCCCCAAACCTGATTTCAGCCCAACTTTCATACCTGACTTATTGTGTATGGCCTTGGGCAAATCTCTGGCCTCTCTGGGCCTCCAAGTTGTCATCTGTGAAATGAGGAAGTGTGAGTGGCCCTCCAGGGTCTGTGCCTGTGTAGGAAGGAGGATCTGGTGGGGAAGCTCCCTCTGGGGAAGCTGCCATGCTGTCTGTTTGAGAGGCTCCTGAAGGCTGGGTAAGGTTAGGAACAGCAGGGTGGTACACCCCTTGCCCCACTCCGTGTGCTGCGGTATCCGGGGCATCCACTCTCGCCCCAAGGTACAGGCCTTCCTCCTGGTGGGAGAGGCAGTGGGCTGCAGGTGCAGGCCCTAGAAGACCTTTCTAATTGGCCAGGCTGTACCCAGAGGAGAGTAGGCTGCCTGGGCGGGGAGGGGTGAGCTTCCTGTTCTGGAGTAAGGGAGTGAGGCTGAGGTTGGTAGCAGGCATCTAGTAGCTGCATGTAGGCCTCAGAAAGGGCCCTGTGCGGCCCAAGGCTCTGTGACGCTGGGCAGCACAAAGGGCTTTGGTGTTTGCTGCTGACAACCCCAATCAGCCCACACCTCTGAGGGCTTAGGGAGCCCTTCAGAGTCATCATTTCCTGTGATCCACATGGGGCCCTGGACAGTGGGAAGCATGTGGGGCTCCTTGCCCCCATTTTGCAGACAAGGCAGCACAGCAGAGAGGGTGTGGCTCTCAAGCCAGGGCCAGGCTGTGGGCTCAGCCGTGCACAGCTGTACAGAGCGGCCATTGCTCTACTTCTGCACCATCGTTTTTAGTCTCTGAACTGGGGATAATGCCGGTGTTGTAGGTGATACACAGTGAGCATGCAGCACAGCCTGGTTTGGAGTAAGCATTGTCATTATTTGTGTAGTTTGCCCAAAGTCAGCAGCTCTCCCATGCTCTGACTTCCCATCTTGGGCTCTGCTTGCCACCTGTGTTGTCTGTTTGTGAAGCAGGCCTGGCCCTGGCACATGTCCCCAGGACTGCTGCTGTTTGCTGGGAGCCAGTGCACGTCTCTTCCTGGTCTGCAGGCTCAGCCCTGGGTAGGCACAGGGCGATGCAAGGCTTGCAAGTGCTGGCGGCTGGAGGGTTCTGCGCAGCCTGCCCCCCTGTCCCCGTCCCTGTCAGACTTCAGGCCTTGCTCTTGGCTAGCCAGCCTGGGGTTGCTCCTGTCACTGGTTACAATCCTGTCTGGGCATTCTTCTAGACTCCAGACCCCTCTGTGGGTGACCAAGCAGAGCAGGTGGCCCCAAGGTGATGAGATCTGGGAGATGGTCCCTTCATGAGAACCCATCATAGGCCTGATGTTGGCTCTGAGTTGGTCAGCTCCAGGTCTCAATCCTGTTCAGTCTCCTTCCCACTGTCTCTCACCAGATGTGTGGCTAAAAGTGCAGACTCTCAGGGCCTGCAGATCCAGGTTTAAGCCCCAGCTGTGCCATTTGCTGACTGACTTTTGGTAAACCTTTCTCCCTCAGACCCTCAATCTCTTCCATAAAATAGGAACAATACAGTCTCCTGGAGTTGTTCTAAGGATCAGACCAGAGACTGCATGCAGAGCATATTATGTGCTCAGTAAGGGGCAGCTAATGCAGGCTGTTCCTTTGCCATCAGAGCTCCACCAGCCTACTTCCTTCAGGTTCCCCTATAAGGACAGAGCTTCAGCTGCAGCCGGTTTCCTGTTACTTTCGGTCACTCCTTCCCTCCTTCATGGATTGCTTCAAGGTTGGCTTATTGAGCCCCCAGTCTGTGCCAGGAGGTGCATGGAGTGAAGGGGGCAGGGGTGTGGTTGTTAGGACACAGTCCCCACCTTCAGAAGGCACTCGGAGTCCAGTGAGAGAGATGGAAGACAGACGTGTGGCCATGATCATAACCCAGTGTGATGGGGGAGGTTTTGAGGTGTTATGGGAGTAACTAGGAAGAGCCGTCAACCCCAAGGGGTGGAGCAGGGAAGGCTTCATAGAGGAGCTGCTGCTGGAGGAGGGCATTGGAGGACACATAGGAGCTCTCCAAGTAGAGAAAGGGGGCAAGGCACTTATTCCTGCAGAGAAAACAGCACTCAGAGAGCAGAGTCGGGGGGCAGCATCGGCTTGGTTGTGACAGGAGATGAACAGTGCAAGAGGCCCGGGGTGCACTGTGACCCACCCCACTCTGCCTCAGTGAGTCGTACTGAGCTGAATCTGGACTCACAGAGTTTCTGAGTTCTGTGTACTCTTCTCAAACAGAATAGTGATCCCCTGAGTGTAGAGCTGGAGTCTTCTCCTGTTTCTCTAGCAACATGCCTGCTGAGGGTCCCCCGTGCTGACCTGTGGGTGGGGTGGGGGTCAACCAGGACTGGGGCAGGGTGGGGCATCTCTACATACCGGGCCTGGGCCCACCACAGGGCAGGCCTTCAGGAGCATTTCCTCCCCTGCACACTCAGCTGCCCCCGGCCTCTCTGCTCCCAGCAGCGTCTTCTCCCTCGGTTCCCATGCGGCTCCTGTTCACCTGTTGGGTCCCACGACTGAGTCCATTCCCTCTTCCCTGCCTGAGATCCGTGGGGAAGGTGTAGACTAGCATTGTGGGGCCCAGAGCTGTGTGCAGCTTGCTTGACATCCACGCTTGTGAGAAGATCATCTCGAAGTCCCTGCAAGTGCATTGATTGTTGTGACTGCCCCTCTGTGTTGGCTTGTGTCATTGTGGTCCCCACTGCGTGGTTCCCACCCTCCCCCGCCTTTTTTGAAAGAATGTTTTTTCTCATCAGATCCTTTTCACAGACTAACCCTCTTGCTTATGTTCTGTCTGTTTCTCCCCCCCCTCCTCTCCCTCCGGTTCCCTTCTCCTTCTCATAGACTGACCCTTGGTTATCGTTGCAGAATTACGGCAGCGGCATGAGACCACCACCCAACTCCCTCGGCCCCGCCATGCCCGGGATTAACATGTAAGGCGAAAACGACCCAGCCTGGGGCTCAGAGCCCGTGGCTTTCCCCGCCCTCTGCTGGCACCCTGGAAGACTCGCAATACGAGTCATTGCTGGTACCTCTCTGGACCTTGGTGTCCTCATCAGTAGAATGAGGTCGTCGATGATCCCGGTGATGAGAGCTGAGCCTCCAATAGTGCTTATGTGTGCCAGGCACAGTTCTGGGCATGCTCCCTGGGCTAGCTCCCTTAATCCTCATGATAACCCTATGAGACAGTTATTATTATCCCCCATTTACGGATGAGGTCACTGAGGCACAGAGAGGTGAAGTAACTTGCCCAGGCTCCTACAGCTTTCAGTGGCAGAGACGAGATTTGAAAACCCCAGTATAATTAGCCACTGTTCTCTAGTGCTTTAGTGATAATCCTTTGTGAGAATCTGTGGACTCCCGTCCTAGGAAAATGCACATACAGATGGAATTTTATATACTTTGTTTATAATTTTATAAATGTTATATATCTTATGTATAATTTAAAGGAGTTCATAGATTTCCACCCACAGAACTAACCGTTGCTACCCCAAAACTAGATGGCCTCCAAGACCCTAGGACTGGGAGAAGGACTTCCTGGCCCTGATTTTAGCCCTCTCGTTCTGCGCCTGCCAGCTGTGACCTTGGAGTTTATAGTGCCTGTTTCATTGTCTATCTCTCTCTCTCTCTCTCTCCCTCTCTCAGGGGCCCGGGAGCTGGCAGACCCTGGCCCAATCCTAACAGTGCTAACTCAGTGAGTACCCAGGTCAGGTGGATGGTGGTTGTCAGGAAAAGGCCTCTAGGTGCAGGTGGAGGTGTCATGGGGTGGGGGAATGCAGCAGGACCCCACCTGATGCCCGCAAGAAGAAGGCTGTGTGTGGAGGAGGCCTGGGAGTCACACGCTGGGGTCATCACATGCTGGCTTCTGCCCTGCCCAGCCCACTGCTACAGAAGCTATAAGGTCTAGGCTGAGAAGCTGGTTTCAGAGGCACTGTTCAGAGTAGAGGCTTCCGTCTATCTCCTCCTCTGTGGCAGGGCTGCTTCCAACATTCAGAGGAAGGAGTGGGTAAGGGGTTCAGTGCAGACAGTCCAGGGAGAAGGTCAGAGGGGTGGGGTGAAGCCCTGTTTTTCCTTCCCTCCCAAACTGGAGGGTCTCCTATGCCCCTTGACCCTGTAGCTCCCTCCCAAGACTGGTGAATAGATGACCAGGCTCTCAGGATCACTCACTGTAGCAGGGAGAACTGGACTTTGCTGACATCCCTAGTCCTCCTAGGGAAACTAATCAGACAACTGACACACTGGGCCCCAGAGCCTTTCCTGTGAAGAGCAAGGTTGTGTCCCTAAGTGGATTTTGAAGCTGAGGGGCACTGCCTATCGGAGGAAGTGACTCTGACATGTGACTCCCCCACATCTTGTTTCTAGATTCCATACTCCTCCTCATCACCCGGTACCTATGTGGTAAGTGTGGGTTTGGGGCATCACATGTCTAGCCACGTGTGACTGAATGAGTGTGCAAGAGAACTGCTTGGTGGTCCCTGTCTCTTTCCCTTTTCAAACACATTGTGAGCAACAGGTTCCAAACTGCTAGACCTTGCTGTCAATATTCAGGCATCTATACAGGTCTGGGGTGGCCCAGAAATCCCCAGCAAGACCTGAGTGGGATCTCCATCTGGGGAGCTGACCCGTGGGCTGGTCAGCTTCCACCCAGGACTCTGGCTTGTACCAGTCGGCATGGAGTGAGCACACATGTGCACATCCTCAGGTGCCTCTTGGTTCGAAGAAAGGAAGGTGGGCTCTGAGTCCAATTCTCCTCAAGCTTAAACATTGAATCTCTCAGAGAACCCTGGGACACTGACATGGGCCCCGGGTGAATAGCTGCTGCTGACTAGGAGAGGGTGTGGTGGTGGCCTCTTCCCATGTGAGTCATCACAGTGGGTGACTGATACCAGTTTTTCTCTCATCCCCAGGGACCCCCTGGTGGTGGTGGCCCCCCCGGAACACCCATCATGCCTAGTCCTGCAGGTAAGAGAGCTCAGGGACAGTGCATCCGATGGGGAATGTAGTTTCTGGGGAATCCTGGAGGGCCTGGGTGCAAAGCCAAAGCTTCCCACCACTCCTTCTGCAGTAGCACATTCTCCACTGAGCATTGTGGCATCCAGGAATTTAGGGGGCAGGAGGCTTCCAATGCCACTGACCCCCTCGCCTGTGGCCTCAGACCACTCATCTTCTGGTTCTCAGGCACTGGTTTGTAAAGGGCAGGGCTGAGCAAGGAGGTGTGGGACGAGGGGTCTTATTGTTCTTGGTTCCCTCTTGTTAGGGAGAACTCTGTCCTGGGTGGGCATTTTCCTAGATGACTTGCAAATGGGCTTTTGGGTTCTGGCATCTTAGGACCAGAGTTTCCATAGGTCTTGGCTTCTGGTCCTCTAGGTAGAAGGTCTCTTCTCCCTTTTTCTTTAATCAGAAGAGGGCACGTGTGCACACACGTGGGCATATGCACACATGCACACACACACAGCATCACAATTATGTTTCTTTCCCAGCTAAGAATAGATACTAGCCAGCTAGAAGAATCCAACATACAATCCTTACCACCCCAAAAATAAAAAGTGAGAGCTAGTTGGATTTCTGCCTGAGAAATATGGTGCCTGCTCTTGAAAGGAACATTAGCTGATTTCCTAAGGAGACTTTTTTGGCTAATTGGGGAGATGGCGGGGACCCTCCCCCACCCCATCCTCAGTTCCCTGTACCAGGGAGGCTGCTCAGCTGCAGGGGTGGAGCTGCCGGCGGCCACGATGTTCCGCTCCCACACCGGCTCCCTTGCAGGCTCCCTCTTTCTGCTGCTGCATTTTGATGAGCTGCATGACCTACATTCAGACTGGGTCACATTAACCCACTCCATATGCTAATGTGTCTTCAGCCCCAGCCCTGCCTCTCCCTCCTGCCCCATCAGCTTGGCAGGGTGGCCCCTGGTCATTTGTGGCATTTCCCTTTTCCCAATTTGATTAAAACTGCTGGATGGGATTGTCGTGGGGAGAGCCTAGGGGGTGGTCTTGCTGCCCTCACATTGTCCCAAACAGTATCTGGGGACCAGGTTTGGTTTGGGGTGGGGAGATGAGAATTTGAACCTGTAATCCCCTGTGTCATGTCCACACTGCCGGGGTTGAGTGGTTTTCACAGTTGAATTTTCTATGATTAAAAACTTTGTGAATCTTCATTAAATACAAATTAGCCAGAAAATGGTGGTACTTAGAGGAAATTTTAGGTGATAAAATACAAAAGAATGAGTTCAAGTGCCACGAGTTTGTTTTAATTAAGAAATGAATTAATCACCCCGACTTGCGGGTTTCCACTGTTCTACAGATTCAACAAATTCCAGTGACAACATCTACACAATGATTAATCCGGTGCCGCCTGGAGGCAGCCGGTCCAACGTAAGTCTGCTTTCTAATAATTTACATATCAGACACCATAACAAATCATAATTAACTTCATCAGCTGAGGGGAAAGCAAGTTTAATTGATTTCAGCCATTTGTTACCAAAGATGAATAAAATAAACCGTCAGGAAAGTGATTAACTCTTGGGCAACTTGGTTCCCGTTATGTAGCTGGCAGGGGTGAGAAGGAAGGGGCTCTGGTTAGAGTGAGGGCACAGGGCCCTGCCTCTGGGACAGGCCACTGTGTGGGGTGCTGACAGGAAAAGCACCAGGTTGCAGATGGGGTCCACCTGGTCCCCACTCGACTGACTGGCTGTGCCATGCCAGCGATCCCTCACCCTCTCGGCCCTGTTTCCATGGCCTTGGAGCTGAGGGTGGAGACCACAGCAGGATCGTGCGGCTCATTTGGGGACCTGCCTTCCCTGTGCGGCTGCTGTGAGCTCTGTGATTCCTGTGCCTGGCAGCCTCGTTGCCTCTGCTCGAGCCATACCCTCGTCTAGAAACCATTCCCTCTCTCCTTTGCCTCCCAGAGTTTCAATCCTTGAGTGATGGTGCAGCTCAGATTGCACCTGTTCTGATTCCTGCTCACCCACGTTCCCTCTGTGTTCCCCAAGCCCGTTGGATGGGGCTTGACTATGCAGTGGTAGCCTGCCTCCCTCACCCAGCTGGGAGCTCCCCAAGGATGGGGCCGGGTCTGATTCACCTCCACAGATGACCTTTCCACACCAATTCATCTCCTCCCTCTTCCATGCAGGTGGGGAGGTGAATCGGTCCAGCCTAGCCACTCAGGGAGCTCATGGTCTGAAAAGGAGGTCTGTGGACTGCAGAGCCAGAGGGTGGGCTCAGAGCCCCTTTGGCCTGGTTGAGGGTGAATGGGGCCCTTGGGGCACTCTATTCAGTTTTGTTGGCTCAGTTCTATGTTAAACCCCGAGTGTGAGCTGCCCCAGGCTGAGGACACATTTAATTCATATGTCCCGCTCCCCCTACCAGCCCTCTGAGGTGAGGATCCCTGGCCTGTTAACCAGGGTCATGTGCCACACCTGCTGCGGTCTGTCCTGCTGCCCCTCTCCCTCCTCTCTTGGGCAGCCAGCACCTCCCACCACTCCAGCCTCATTACTCCCTTTTCACTAGGGTGACCGACCATCCAAGGTTTAGCAGTAAAAGCCCTTCATCCTGAGAAACCCTGGATAAGAAAGTTTTGGGTTTTGGCAATGATTGCAGAAGGTTGGGTGGAAAAGTATGAAGCTCATACAGAGGCCCACAAGTCAGGGATAGAGAACACTGTTTTTAGTGTCAAATGGAAATAGCATAGATGATCTGCCTCCCACGGATGCTGGCATTGTGACTTGTGGTTCTTCACGATGGATTGGTGGGTCACCTGTGCTGCCACTCGAGGGCTGCGACCCCAGGGCACAGCATCATGGCCACCAGCAGAGTTCACCTTTGTGTTCACTGCTGTGTCGAGATAGAGCTGGTTTCATTTTTGGCATTGTGGATGCCATAACTATATTTTCTAAGAGTTGGAATTATGAGAACGATGACGGTGCCAGCACCAGCATGACCCAGACACCACCAAGAAAAAAGGCTCAGCGACCATGTCTTTTAACGACAGAGGGAACGACAGCCACAACCAGACTAGGGAGGTAAAGAACCAAAACAGAATCTATTGCACAGTTTGCAGGAAAGAATTTGGAATTAGGCCTGGCAGAGAAGGAGATGTGGAAGCGCATTGGAGGTAGAATCTCTGAGTCTGGGAAGACACAGGCACATTTTTCTAAATCAAAACTTTTTATTTCATCCTCCAAAGAGACACCAGTGCTCAGTGAAAACTAGCGGTCACAGAACTAGCTTGGGCATACCCTCAAATGAGCACCATTATCATCTCATTCCCTTGACTGCGCCATAAGCCGAGAAGGTTACATTTACTGACTGGGAGGTCACAGCTAAAAGTCCTCTGTGTGAACAAAAGGGAAGGAAACTTTGATAAAAGATGTGTAAGGGGGGTGGCTGGTCAGCTCACTTGGGAGAGCATGGTGCTGGTAACAGCAAGGTCAAGGGTTCAGATCCTCTTACCGGCCAGTTGCAAAAAAAATGGGTAAGATGGTAAATTTTATGTTAAGTGCATTTTACCACAGTAAAAATAAGGTGGCGGGGGCAGGGGGAAAGCCAGGGAAACCACAAAAGAAATAAAAATAAGATGTGTAACTTCCAAACAGGTACAGGAAAAAGGAAGGGACGGCAGCGCTGCCGTTATGGGGATCCGAACCCTTCTGGTAGAGCTGATTCTGTCTGATCCTACCAACAGTTGTGTTTTCTACAGTATGTCAAGTGATGCCTCATGTCATGGCAGTAAAAACAAGTTCGCACTACCTCTTAGGTACATTGATTGGAAAACTAGAATTTCAAATCATCATCTTTACCTCTGTGAAATTTTAATGAAACTGCAGAAAACATAAAAGATTATTGTTTTCTTGTCCTCCTACAGACCAGCCTTTGCTCACATATCTGCCTTTTTCACAGATAGTACCCAGTTAATTTGGGCAAATTTTATTTCGTCTGTAAGCTTCTTACCAATGAAAATGAAAATATCTTACCTGCTAAACGTCCTGCACACCTTGTACCCTACACTGCCACCAAGAGGTGTGATTTGCCCACCTGTGAGATCAGCTTTCATAAGGAAAGTTTTTGATCACTTTTCAATTTCCTCAAAATGTGCAGAAGCATTTACTGAGGTTGTTGACTTTATAGAAATGGAGAATTCCTCAGACAAGTGCCCACAAGATGCCTGTCACTGTTGCTGGCCGTAGAAAAAATGTTAAGATAAGATGTTAGCCTGCTGCGAAAACTGATTTTCTTTAAAGTGTAAGACACAAAGGATGTCCTTCTCTAATTCGGAAATACGTTAAGATGAGAATGGAAAAAGGAATTACAGTAAAGTGTGTATGCTGTTCCTCCAAAACTGTTTTATCTTTAAAGAGGCCATGAGAAGCCTAGAGAGAAAGGAGCCCACCATACCTGCATTGTGGGGGCCATGGAGCTGGCAACAGAAGCTCATACAGCAGAAATACTGAGTCATATTTTGGAAGTGACACTACTTGAGAACTCAAAAACTGTCACCAGAAAGGGCAGCCAAGTGAAACAGGACTTTCTCAATTCTTTCATTAAAACTGTAACTTAGGGGCCAGCCTGTGGCTCACTCAGGAGAGTGTGGTGCTGATAACACCAAGGCCACGGGTTCAGATCCCATATAGGGATGGGCGGTTGGCTCACTTGGGAGAGTGTGGTGCTGACAACACCAAGTCAAGGGTTAAGATCACCTTACCCATCATCTTTTTAAAAACAAAACTGTAACTTAGATGGAATCCACCTTCAACCTCACAAGTTCAAATTACCCCCGTGCTTTTAAAACCATTTTTTCTGAGAGGTTTAACATCTGGTGTGCTTTAGAGTGTTTAAAAATGATGGGCATCATAGACAGAGCCCATCTGATGAATTTATAATGCAGAAGTCCTGATTGACAAGCAGCTGGTCCACTAAAGCCATTCTGCAGACACAGAGTGGGCGGACAGCTTTGGAGAGCTGGAAATGAATTCCTGCAAGTCTGAAAACCTGTGCTAATAAGTAAAATCCTAAATACTCCATGTGCAAACGTTATGTGGAGAGGATATTTACTTTGGTGTTATCATGTTGGAGTGACACCAGGAATCAGTGTTACATGGGCTTGCTAAATGCAGAGTGGCAAGTCAAGTGAATTCCACGTTTGACTACGTTCAATTTTATCACTGCATCAAAAAAAAGAAAAAAGAAAAAAAGATGTCCTAAAGGCTGTAGGCATACCAAAGAAGTAACACTGGATAAGGAAGCATAGCAAAAATATCCCACCGTATCATGGGGTAGAAAGAAACATGTCATTGTTATTTTTAAAACATAGGCAATATTTGTTTAATTCATCCTATTGTATTTGTGTTCCATTTTTCTTAAATCTTGCATTTATGTATCTTAATACACAGTATTAAATCCTACAAAATTTAAATATCCAATAAAGAGTTTTTTGTTTTTGGTTTTTAAAGATGACCTGTACAGAGATCTTAACCCTTGACTTGGTGGTGTCAGCACCACACTCTCCCAAGTGAGCCACAGGCCAGGCCTCCAATAAAGAGTTTTTTAAAAATTAAATTACTGTATCAGAGGACAGAAACATGACAAAAAGCCTGTATTTTTCTCACATATATAATTTAATTAACTAGTCCTCCTACTAATTGCCACTGTTAACTAGTCCTATTGTTTTATTTTAAATAGCACTTACGTATCAGAAAAGTAAACAATACAAAAAAAATAAACGGTGCTGCAAAAACTGGATGTCCACATGCAAACGAATGAGGTTGGGCTACTTCCTTACACCAGCGCACAAAAGTCAACTCATTCATAGACCTAAAATGTCAGGGCTAAAACTATAAAACACTCAGAAGAAAACATAGGAGTAAATCTTCATGACCCACGTTAAGCAAAGCCTTAGATACAGCACCAAAAGCACAAGCAACAACAGAAGAGAGTAGATAAGTTGGACTTCACGGGAAAGTAAAACAACCCACAGAATAGAGAAAATAATTGCAAATCATATCAGATAAGGTACTTGAAACAAAAACATAAAAAAGTCTCACAACTCAATAATAAAAGTACAACCCAATTAAAAAATGGGACAAGGACCTGAATAGACATTTCTCCCAAGATGATAGCCAATAAGCATGAAGAGAGGTTCAGCATCAGTCATTAGGAAGTGCACATCAAAGCCACAATGCGATGCCACTCCACTCCACTCCCATTAGGGTGGCCATAGTCGTAAAGACAGATAACGACTGGTGTTGGTGAGAACGTGGGAAGATGGAGCCCTCGTACACTGCTGGTGGGAATGTAAAATGGTGCAGCTGCTTTGGAAAATAGTCTGGCATTACCTCGAAAGGTTAAACATAGAGTTACTGGTTGACCCAGCAATTCCACTTCTAGGCATCTATCCAAGAGAAATGAAAACATATGTGCCCACACAAAAATGTGATCATTAATGTCCGTAGTAGCATTAGTCGTAGTAACCAAAAAGTGGAAATAGCCTGAATGTCCCACCAACTGTTGAATGGATAAAGAAAATGTGGTATATCCATACAGTGGACTAATTTTTGCCCATATGAAGGAGTAAAGTACTGATTGATGCAGCAACATGGATGAACCTTGAAAACAGGCTACGTGAAAGAAGCCAGCCATGAAAGATCACATGATTCCATTTGTATGAAATGTCCAGAATAGGCAAATCCATAGAGACAAAACAGATTAATGAGCGCCTGGGTCTGGGAGTTGGAGGGGTTCTGGAGAGAGACTGTTAATGGGTACAGGATCTCTTTTTGAGGTGGTGGGAATGTTCTAAAATTGTAGTAATGGTTGTACAACCCTATAAAGATACTAAGAACCACTTAATTGTACATTTTAAATGGGCCAGTTGTATGGTATGTGAATTAGATCTCAAGCTATTAAAATAATATACAAAAAATACACAATAATATGTAATTTCCAATAAATACCTGTTTTCGTATATATCTTGTTAAAGTAATGACATATTTATGTTAAAGTAATAACATGTGCATGATTATATATTACATTATCATGTTTTGGAACTTCTTTTTGGTCTGATATGGCTGTGTCCTGGGTTGGCTCCCTGAAACGTTGGTCACCCTTGGGTCAATAAGCATGAAATTTCTTGCCAGATGGCAAAATGTGCTCCAAAGCTTGTGAACTGCCTTGGGGGGCCACTGGGGAGACAAGGATACCTCACCGCAGTGTGGGGCGGGCGGCATGGGAAAGTAGCTCAGGCCCCAGCCTTGCCCCGCAGACTGCTCTGGGCCTTACTCCCTACGTAAGTGTTCCTCTTCTGTCACTCCCTGCTGCCACCTGCAAGGTAGCTTTCTGCTGATGCAGGACTCCTGCCTGGAATGACTTCCGTGACTTCTCTGCCTACCCAGATTCTACCCCTCAGTTACACTGATGCTCTGCCTCCTCCTCTGGGCAGCCTGTTCTGATTTCCCTTGCTCTGTCTGAAGCTGCAGCCATGCTTTGTCTATAGCTGTCTTTGGAACTTGGCACCACTGACCTGTGAGGTAGTCGGGTATCTGTGAGCTCCTTCAGGCTGAGGCTTAGGTGTGACTCAGCTCTGTCCTCAGCGCCCGGGCCAGGTGCCAAACACTCTCCATTCCACCACCTCCACCCCTTGCCACCCAACATCCGGTCTGCATCACAGGACCTTGGCTTTCCAGACTGGGCTCCCTCCCTGGCCTTGTGACTTGTGGCCATAAAATGTGACCTTTCTGGCCTTCGATTGCTTCCTTTCTGAGATGAGTTTGATAGTTCCAGACAGTGCTGAGGATGGAGTAGAATCAGTTCCATCTCTGAGCCTCTGACCTGCCTGCACCCTCAGTTCTTTGTGGGAGCCTCATTAGTGACCTCCCTCCACCAGCCACCGCAGCCCCAAGGTGTGATGCCATCCTGTTGGCCAGAACCCTCGCTCCCCTTGCCCCTGTGGCTCAGCAGCCCAGTCTGTTCTCACTGCCCACTCCCAAGAAGCTTCTTCATTTCTAAGGAAGAGCTTGGAGGAGGCTAACGTGAGGGCTCTGGGCCCAGCTGCCAGGTTCCAGTCCCAGTCCCTTCATCTCCAAGCTGAGAGACCTCAAGCCAGAATTTTCCACTCTGTGCTAAAGTTTCCTCATCTGTAAAATGGGCATGAAAAGCACTGATATTTTTGGTTCCTGCCTGGCATGGTCAGACACCCTCTGCATGAGGCTGTGGTGAGCCCCACACCCCACCCCTGGTATGGGAAGAGCCCTGCAACAGGATCCGGGAGGCTTGAGAGCTGCCTCTGTGTGGAGCTCAGTGGCCATGGGCCAGTCCCCTCCCTCTCTGGCTCTGTTTCCTCACCTGGTGTGTAAGGATGAGCATCTCTGCCCTCCAACTCAGCCTCCCAGGCGGTAAGTGTCCGAGTGTGTGTGAGACGAGCCCACCAGAATGGAAGCTCCTGCAGGCAGGGCTCTGTGCAGCTGTAGTCCGGGGCCTCGGGCCTCAGAGGTGCTTGGTGAGCTTTGCTGGCTGACTCCCTGGGCGAGGGAGCCCGTGAGGGGTGCAGAGGGCCTGGGGCCCACTGAGCCACCCTGCCCTGTGCTTCTCCCTCAGTTCCCGATGGGTCCTGGCTCGGATGGCCCGATGGGAGGTATGGGCGGCATGGAGCCACACCACATGAACGGATCGTTAGGTAAGCCAGCGCCTCTCCCTAGTCATGCCCAGCCCTGCCTGGCAGCCTTCTGTGCCTCAGCTCTTGGCTCAGCTAGGCCTGGAACCAGCCCTGGCCACAGCTTGGCACACAGGAAGATCCCAAGAGAAGGACACTGCCCAGACAGAAGTTTCTGCACAGAATAGTGTGGGATTCGGGTGGAAGGGCCTGGAGGCAGGGGTCCTCCTGTGACACTGGAGACCCTTCACAGGAGAGTGAGCAAGAAACTGAATGGGATTCTTTTTCCCTTCCAGGGTCAGGCGACATAGATGGACTCCCAAAAGTGAGTGTGTGCTCGGTGTCTCCTCCTGACACACCCATCATGCGGGCAGGTTGTTGGGGACACGAAGCTCACCTCCTCTCCTCTTTCTGCAGAATTCTCCTAACAACATAAGTGGCATTAGCAACCCTCCAGGCACCCCTCGAGACGACGGCGAGCTAGGCGGGAACTTCCTCCACTCCTTCCAGAACGACAACGTAAGCCCCCAACCCCTGCTCACTCCGCATCCCTGGATCCTCATGCCCTGGGGAGTGGGGCACCGCGGCCACTGAGCTGGTGGCCCAGCAGCCACGTTGTGGGCTTCACCTCATTCTTTTCCCCCACACCAAATGCAGAGCCCCGACCACTGCCCCAAGTCTTCCTGCTGGTGGCTCCATGCCAGCCAGATGCCTCTGGCACAAATGAAGCAGATATGACTGGAAAAGCCCTGGGCAGAGAGAGTCGGGACAGTGTTGTCCCTGGGGGTCCATTTCCATCTGTCCTGAGGAGGAAGGTTTATGCAACCGATGATTCCAGGGGTCTCAACACAGAGGGGCTGGCTGGCTGCTTTTCTGTAGGGGCTTCTGTGTGCAATCTCGAATGAAGAAACAGAGCTGTGGTTAAGTGGCTTCTGAGTACCCCAGACTGGCCCCCACCCTCAGGGCACCCTGGCTGTGCTCAGGCTCCTAAGACCCCAGTTCCCTGTGGTCTTGTGGCTCCAGGAAAGCTGTTTGTGCCGCTTCCTTGGGCTAGAAAGAAGGGCTGCTTCAGAGAGCAGACGAGGCAGAGGGAGGCTCCTCTGGCTGCCACGGCTCCTGAGGGAGGGACTCGGGCTGCGGCTGAGAGGTGGCTTAGCTCCCACCTCCCTGCCCTTGTCGTGGCGCTGCCAGCTCTTGCCCACCCAGTGCCATCACACACACCCCAGCCCAGCCGCACCCCAGCCTGACCCTGCTCATCTGTGTGCAGTGAGACCTTCACAGAGCTGGTGGCGCCGTGGTGTGTCCGCTGCCTCCCCGCAGCCCAGCCCTCACGGCCTCCCCCTTGTCTGCCTCTCCCCTTCCAGTATTCTCCAAGCATGACGATGAGCGTGTGACCCCCTTCTCCAAGATGCTGAGAGAGCCGGCATTGCAGGCAGAAGACGCCAGAAATTATGCAAGAAGAAGTGAGGGGTCATTATCCAGGAGCTGGGGGAGGGCATCTCCCCGCTCCCCCTCTACCCCCAACCTCCCCTCCCAGTCCCCCCACCTTTCCCAATTTTAGTTTGATGCAATAAAAAGGCTGAACTTTTTATTCCGTAAAACATGAAGGACAAAACTCAAAAATAAAAATATATTTCAAGTCAATGACCAGAAAATTCCCACCCGTTCCCCTTTCCCGAAAGGACCTTTTCTGTACATGACACCTATTTGTTGTTTTTTGTTTGGGGTTTTACCGTTGTTGGGATTTCTTTTTTATTTGTTTTCAGGGGTTTTTTTTGGGGGGGGGGATTTTTTTTAATGGAAGCTTCTAGCAAGCCCTCCCCCACCCTGCCCCAGTCAATCTCTTTGCTTTCTTCTTTAAACAAAAGAAAAAGAAAAAAGGCAAAAAACAAACAAAAACCCACAAGCCCTGCTGTCTGTCTGTACCCAAACCCTTCCACCAGGAAAGCTAGTCGAGGTGTGAAGTCTCACACTGTCTTTGTAGCCATCTAAAAATAATAATAAACTGGACAGTTTACAACCAGTGGTTTCTTTCACAAAGCCTTTTTTGGAAAGAAAAACGAAGTCACCCATTTCCACTTGGGTTTTGCTTTGGGCAACGCGCAGGGGAGGGGTGGGAACCTGTTTTGCTCCCAGACAAGGTGACAACAGCAGCAGCACCCGGGACCCCAGAGCCCACCTTCCCCCATCATGTGGTCGGAGGGACGAGACTGCCCAACCCCCTTTCAGGATTCCGCCACAGCCGAGGCTTCGCTGTGACCTGGTGGCGTGCACCGTGTTCCCAGGACTGCCTCTTCCTCTTCTCTCTCTTCCGGATCTCTCTCCCCGTCCTGGCTCTCCAGCCCCTGCTCAGCCCCCACCCCAGTCTTCCCAGCGAGAATCCTGCCTGCTGGGTGGTGGCCCGGACCCGAGTAGGAGAGGCTGCCACCGACGGGATGGCTATGACCTGGGACATGGAAACCGTGACCTCCACGTTCTGGTCCCGCGATCCTCGCGTCGTCGTCGTGTGCACAGGCAGGGTGGGCTGGAGTTTGGTTTTCTTTTGTTTTTTCTCCTGATTTGTCTTTCTTTTTCAAAGATGGGATGTTGACCGGAATTGTGCTGTAAATGCTTGGAACTGGATGGAAAGACTTTGGATTAGCTGTGGGGGTGGGAGAACAGCAACAACCAAACAGACTGTTTCCGACCCTGTTTTTATTTTCAAAAACCGACAAACCCGACGACGGAGCCTGTCCACTCCCAGGAGGGGTGACCAGTGGCCTCTCTCACCTCACCACCCCCCATGGGAACCTGTGTCTCGCCCTTGAAGACACCCGAGTTCTTTGTACATTGACACTCCCTTCTCCTTCCTTCCCAGCCCTGTAGCTGGTCTTTGTTTTATTCCCTCCCCTTCCCAATCCATGTATATCATATCATGTGAGATATCATCTGCCTGAAAAAAAGACCTTGTGCGGATTATTGGGAACATTGTAGCTGTTTCTGTGTTTTTTCTTACCTTGTAGTCTGGTTCTGAATTAAGAGAGGGAAAAAAAAAAGTAATTATGATACATTGTAGTTTGTGTACGATATATGTTGATAACGTTTTATTAAAGGGACATCTTTTTTCCGCAGCCCTTCCTGACATGTTTGGGTGAACATGGGTTGGAGTTTATTATACTGATTACAAAATGCAAGGTGATTTGTTGGGCACAGAGTTTTTGTTGCTGGCGCATAGCAAGATTTTGTTTTGTGTTGAAGTTGTCTGCCTTCTTTTCCTGGGCATGTTAACTCTGCATTTTTGTGGAGAGCCAAAGTGACATTTGGGGAAGGTGGGTTGGGAGGGGAGGACATCACTCTCAATCCAAATATTTGGGGGGCCTTGTTTTAGAAGGCTTTTAGCTGGTTTCAGTTTCTTGTCTTGCAAACACATTTTGGTTTGCCAGAATGTCTTTATCTTTCTGGAAGTAGAAGAAGGTTCCTGGTGCCCTGTGTTTTCTGTTGGGAGCCAGGACGGCCCTGTGAGCTGCAGCCTCACCCCGCTCTCTCCCCTGAACTGGAATTTGCTAACACCAAAGGCCACCCCTCATCCATGCCTGCCTGCTTGGTATGTTCGGGACTGCAGGGGTTGCTTTGAGGGTCCTTAGGTGCTGGGCCACAGGGAGGTTGATTTTTGTTTTTTAATCTCTGGAAGGCAATGGGGAGCCCTTGAAGGATTTTGAGAGTAGTGCAGTCCGACTTGAATTTTAGAAAACTTAGGCTGGTTGCATCCTGGAAGCTATATTGGGTGGGCTGCACAGGATGTGGGAGAGCCATTCTCAACCATCATCTAGGCAGGAGATACTGAGGGCTGGGGTGAGGGCGGCGGAGGTGGGCGCTGACTTGCACGAAGTTTAGAAAGTAGAGCTTTCTACTGACCTGGAGTTCTGGGAACCTCATTCTAGGCCTGTGGTGGGGTGGGGGGACGACACACAGTGCTCGAGCAAAGTGTGGCCTCAATCCATGTTTGTTTACAAAGATCTCAGGACCACCAGATTGTAAATTTCCATCTTCAGATCTTGCCTTTGCCACTACTTGCTTCGTGGCCACAGGCCAGTTAGTGCATATCTCTGTCCTTGGTTTTCTCACCTATAAAATGGGTAATGGTTTACCCACCTCATGGGGTTGTGAGGCTAAGTTCATGTGAAGTGCCAAGAACAGTGCACGTAGTAAGAGCGGTATGTGCTTGCTACTGGTGACGCTGTTACTCATATTTGTGGAGAATCCAAATGGGTGTGATGGGGAGTAGCTGGGATCTGGAAGCTTCCATGTGGTTCTTAGGCTTTTCCTCAGCACAGACACCTTTGAACTATTGGGAAAACATCCCCACTGGACATATGAGGAGACTCAGGCTGTGATTAACCTGCACTGACAGCTCTGAAGAGGCGACTGCCTCACACCCACCCAGAGCTGGGGAAGGGGGAGGTGGGGACGACGGCACATCCACTTGCTGCCCTTGCTGCCCTTGCTGCCCCCAGGCTCTGTGGAGCAGGAGTCAGGCACAGACGGCAGCCATGGAGTTGGGTGCCGAGCTGGAGAGGAAGCCAGGGCGTGGGAGCCCTTGTGGAGAAGGGGCCTGCAGTGCACCCCACCGCCCACCTGTACTTGGAGGGTGACCATACTGAGTGCTCTTCCCCAGCACCCTTCAGCTGTCCCCAGCTCCCTCCACAACACAGATGGCCCTGGTGAGGGTTGGCTCAGGATTAACCTTCCCTGGGGCACATCTTTGCAGAAAGCACGCCCTGCCCAGCCCAGGCCTGATTGAGATGCAGGGTCAGGCAAGAGCTCTGCACTGAGCCAGCATAGGGATCCCGAAGTGAGGGGCAGGAGAGCGGGGTGTTGTGTCTATCCTCCGCAGAGGAGGGCTTTAGCCGTCATCACTGAAACCTTGGCAGGTGTGGAGAGGCCTGGCCTGAGGCTCCAGGAGCTGGGACCCAGCAAAGCTACTGCTTCCCTGCTAGTTACCACTGTCTGATTCTAGGGTGACATCCAGCCTGAGAGTCTAGAGTGAGGTCCAGGCCTAAGTCAGGAAAGGCTGGCTGACTGGAGACCCACTCCCCTCCCCCACTCCCTTTTGGGTACCCCTTCCTAAAAGCAACACCCTCCCCTGGAGCTAGAAAAGGAGCCAGCAGCTGCCAAGACGCACAGCCAGAGCAGGACTCCAACTGGGGCTGGGGCCACTCAGCCAGCCCCCTGGGTGACTCTGAAAACGTACCATCCCCATCCCCAACCCATTCCCAGCCTCTGCTATCCAGGAAACATGGTGGATTGTGTTCCAGATTCCATAGACTCTAGGAGGCTGAGCTCAGAACATTTCCAGACCTTGAGTCTGGCCCTGAACTGAGTGGAGCTGAATTTCTTGGGGCTCAGGCCTTGTCTCCAGACTTGGTCTGCAGAGTTCCCCATGGCTTGGATGTAGGGGCTGGGCAGGGAGGGAGAAGGGGCTAGAGATGGGTAAACCCTACTCTGCCCAGGCCTGTACTCATTGGCACTTGGAGCTTAACATTGGGGCTGGGAGTTCGAAACAAAGGACCAGACCAAGGAGGGTGGGTGCTGAAAGGTAGAGGGCCCATTCTGTCCTGCACTGGTGCTCCCTCTCAATTCCTGGGATGCTGTGGAGCCCCAGTCCTTGACATCTGGTATCTGGACACTCAGCCACCTCCTTGGCTTCCTGCCTCCATCTCAGCCCTTCCAATGCCACTAAGATCTCACTTCTGAGCCTCCGTAAACTCTTCCTTCTTTCTATCCATCCATCCACTTACCCATATGCATGTGTGTGTTGAGCACCTCATATGCCAGAGACTGTTCTAGCACTAAGGACACAGTAGTGAATGGAACAGACATGGAAGGATGGAGGCGCCCTTCGTGGAGGTGGGACAGGCTGCAGAAAGAGCTCTGTTCACGCAAGTTAAATTAGATATCCAGTGAAGATGTCAAGTAGGCAGGTCTGGGCTGGAGACATACTTTGGGAGTTGTAGGCATGTGGATTGTCTTTAAAGCCACAAGACGGGCTGAAATCATTGGGGCATGAATGGAGACGCCCCAGGACTGGGCCCTGGGGCTCTCCACATAGACCTGGAAACAGGAGGGACCAGCAAAAGAGGCCAAGAAGTGAGTAGAAGACCTGGGGGCCATGTGAAGAAAAGGGTGCCAATGGCCATGCCATCACAGCCAGGGCCAAGGCCACACCACTCACAGCCTTCAGTCCCTGTAGGGCCAGACTCCTGAGGCCTCTCTTGCTTTTTCTTGCCCTCAGCACTTGATGCTTCAACCATGTGGAGCTCTCTCTGAATAATTGTCCACCTAGGCCTTCGTACCTGCTGTCTCCTCCTCTTGGTGTGCCTTTCCTACATGCCTTTTAGAACCAAGCTCAAATGGCCTCTTTCAGGAAGCCTTCTAGGCTGGGGCAGCTCTGCCTGGGTCCCCATGACCCCTATGCTGTAATGGTTCAGTCGGCCTCCTCCATCAGGCCAGGAGCACCATGAAGTCAGAGACCTTGTTTTAGTCATCTTTGTCACAGAATCATCCAGCACAGGGCCTAGCACCCAGTAGATGCTCAATGAATATTCATGGAGTAACTGGATGTTGTTGAGTAGTCACCCCATGGCACCCCTCCCTTTTGCTTGCTGTCACCTGTGGGTAGGTGCTCAGGTGTGGGGAAGGAAAGAGGTGGTCTTTATGGGTACCTGCTACTGCAGCTTTGGGGCTGTATTGTCACCTCTAAGAGGTCCCCATATGGCCAGCCGCCAAATAAATAATGAATGAATAAATAAATAAGAGGTCTCCATAGACTCAGCTGATCTGTGACTTGAATTCCCAGTACGGCCAAAGATTACCGCAGATCCATTTCTGCAAATGCTGCAGAGAAGGGCAGGCTGGGGGCTGGGTAGGGGGACTTGATTCTGATGACTGGGCCTATGGTCCAGCAGAGAACTGGTCTCCTTACTGCTCTGCAAACACCAATCCCATGCCCATCTCAGAGCCGCTGCAGTCCCCAGGCATCTCCCCCGCCAGCTCCGTACTTCATTCAGGTCTCTATTCAAATGTTGCCTTTTCTCAGAGGCCCTCCTTGACCTTGGTTACCTAACACAGCACCCCTTATTCTGTGGGGTAAGAGCCAACATACTCACTCCCCAGCGCTGACAGCTCACAACTTGTCCCTTCCTGTGAATTGCCTCACCCATGGTTTCACCTCCTCCCAGGCGGTGGCCAGTGGCTGATGTGGGACTTCAAAACCTCACCTTGTCTCAATTTTGGACAGCTCTGAAAGGCCATCCTAGTTGCAGTTTTCTATAAAATCAGCTGAGGCCTCAGATTCTCCCTCTGCCCAGTTGTGCCTCCCCCCCCCGCTTCCTTATCAGTATCTCCCTCTGGAGAACACTCCCCAGTAAACATCTGCCACACCTCTAAGACACCCTGTTCCCCTTTTCTTCATTTCACTCTGACAAGTATTTCTTTACTGTCCCAGTGCCTTGCCTCCTGGCTGACACACACTAGATGCTCAATCAATACTTGTAGGATGAACAAGTCAAGTAACTGAGCATTTGTCATCCTGAGGGGAGGAGTGGGCACTAGGACCGGTTGGTAACAAGTGCACATCTCTGGAATTCCCAGACACATCTGGAGAGAGGTCCCTGAACAACGAACAACAACAGTGGTCTTCCAGCAGTCAAGCAGGTAGCCTGTGGGTCGCAGAGATTGAATATTCATGTTAAAGGGAGTTGGAGACACTTGGGTCACTTGCGTGCTTTATGGGACTTTCATCTACCACAAAAACTGGGGAGATGCTGACTAAAACCTGAGATGACCATGTCATGCACCTTCCCCAGCCTTGGGCAGTTGAGTGAGGGAAAAAGCCCTCCAAGTCACAAAGGCTCTGGCAAGCACTCGCCCCAGGTCCAAACTAAGCCAGAGCAGCCTAAAGTGAGGCCCCTGCAAGAAAACCCACCTTTTCCTGGGGCTTCTTAAAATTTCAAACCCATCTACTTGAAGCTTCCTAATCAAATGCAGCCTATTTGATCCAAAGGTGTGGAAAACCTGAAAGGGACATGCTTTATCCCTGTTTTGCAGATGTGGAAGCTGAGGATCTGAAAGCGCAGCTGGAATATAGGAGGCTCTTGGCAATGGCTTCCCTCCAGACCAAAATTGCTATTCCCTTCCTACTGAAATCTGGTAGAAATGAATTCGCTTTTTTTTCTATGCAGCCCCAAAGGTAAATTGAGGAACTTCCTAATGGATCAACCAGGCACCTAAATATATGAGCTATAATATGTTTACATATAGGTTTCACATGGGAATGTCAACATTCTGGCTTCAAATCTGTTGCCAAGAAGTCCCTACAGTGGGATCTCGATAGCAAGTGTGCCCCTGCACTCACTGTCCCACACAGTGCATGTCTTGCTTCCTTCTCCCAGACTCGCTCTTGCCAGCTGGGTAGCCTGTCCTCAGGTGTTAAGGTCAGATGGGGCAAGAATGTCGCCCTTTATTTCTTCCTGTGTTTAATGAGGCAAGGTGGGGGTGAGGTAGATGGGCACTTGGGATTTGGGGAAGTTAAGTACATCTCTGTGGAGGGGCACAGTTGTCACACAGATGAAGTTTCCAGCTTTTCACACATCATGTGGTCTCTGAGCCTCAGTTTCCTCACCTGTATGGGGAGTGTCAAAACTGCCAGTCCTGCCCCCACCTTACTTTGCAGATCAGCTGCACTTTGCAGCTCCCCTTGAAAGGAGATTGCAGTGAGCTCCAGGCTCCCCAACTTAGCACCGAGGCCAGCCATCAGGGCTGTCCTCATTCAGAATGGATTGGAGGGCAGGCTGCCCAGGCCTGCCCTGCAACACTGGCCTTCTTCCAGGGCAGTCCTCAAGCTCAAGGTCATCTGCTGACTGCTTACTCAGAGACATTCAGGGCTTAAGTTCACGTCACCCTCTCACTCCCCATTCAACCAGCCTCCAACGGATTCAGCCATCATCACCAGTCACCTGAGGACTACTTCAATGGCCTCCAGCTGGGCTCTGCACTGTCATCCTGCCAACTCGTCCTCTGTGTGCCCACCAGTGCTCTTTAAAAGAATCACTTTGACTCAGCAATTCTACTGCCAAGAATTTACCCAGTGGCTATGTTGGCAAAAGTACTATACGATACATGAACAAGGATGCTCACTGCAGTGTTATTTGTAATAACTAATGACTGGAAACAACCTAAACATCCATCCATATATACTAATGCAGCTGCTCAAAAGAACAGGGTAGATCACATGTGCCGATGTGATAAGATCCTGCAATTCCAAAATATTAAGTGAAAAATGAAGCGTTGGAGGCTATAAACAAGATGACACTAATGTACATATATGCATTCTCATTACACACATACATTTTAACAAATAGAACGTAAAAAAACTAAACTGTGGTTACCTTTAGGGAAAAGGACTGGTGATTGCCATGGTGTGGTGACTTGACTTTAGACTTTTTATCTTTAAAATAAAAAGTAAGTAAGGGCCGATCCCGTGGCGCACTCGGGAGAGTGCGGCGCTGGGAGCGCAGCAGCGCTCCCGCTGTGGGTTCGGATCCTATATGGGGATGGCCGGTGTGCTCACTGGCTGAGCGTGGTGCGGCCAGTCTCAAAAAGGACAAAATAAATAAAATAAAATAAAAAGTAAAATGAACAGGACTTACTGGACCCCCCTGGCCTCAGATCACCTCCCATGAAAGCCTGAAGTGTCTGGCCTTAAAGGCCCCCCATGAGCTATTGGCTCCAGCCTCAGCCCCCAACTCTCCCTGCACTCCCCATGTTGTAACTCCCCAACTCACCAGGATCCTGCAGTATTGCTTTTCCATGCTGTTGCTTTTCCTGGTAATTCCTCCTGTCCTCCCCCCCACCCCCACCAAGCCTAAAGGATTAGTTGTAAAGCGAAGAGAGCACAAGCCTGGGAGTCAAAGGCACAGGCTGGAAAACCAGCTTTGCCATCTATTAGCTGTGGACACTGCAGCATGCTCCTAGGTCTCTCTTCAGAGACTTCTCCAGCTGCTGTAAGTTTCCCCACAAACTGTGCACAGCTCAACAAAGCCACCGCCCCCAAGGTCTCTCCCGCTGTGGGGTCCAGCGCATACCCAATGACTGGTGACAGGCTGATGGTGTTTGTAGAAAAGCTCCACTCCCTTGCCTCGGTGGGACAACTCTGGCTCTAGAGCGCCATGGAACTGGCAGAGGCCTCAGGTGTACCCACACTGAGCTCAGTCTTTCCTCCCCACCGTGCAGCCAACTTCGCCCCCAATAGGTGCTGGTCCTAAAGGTTCTCCCTAAACTTTCACATTCAAATCTCCATCTCCAAGTGTTTCCTAGGGAAGATGATCTAAAAAGCCAGCTGTGTCACCTTTGGCAAATTCCTTAAATTATCTGTTTTTCTTATCTTTAGGGCCCAGAACAGTGCCTGGCACATACCAAGCACTCTGTTTTTCTTGAACGTGGAAGTGACTTTTACCTTGCACTTACCTTATAAGGGCTGTGTAAGGATAAAGCAAGACACTGTGCCCACCATGAAAGCACAGTGTCTGGCACAGAGCAGGACTTGGTGTTATCTGAACAAATAGAGGCCCCTGAACCAGGGTGTACTTGGTCCATTAACCAGGATACTAGTGAGAAGGCTACAATGAATATTCTACTGAGATTTTCTGCAGTCATAGTGGAGTGTGTCCACAATTTAAGTCATTCCATAAGAACCTAGTGACCATCACAGCACCTGCTACATGGCAGACAGATACATCATCTATAGTCTTCAAAGCAAGCTTTATATTAGCCCCAAGTTTCAGATAAAGACAGTGAAACTCGGAGAGATGATGCTTATCTAAGGTCACAACATGGTCAGGGAAAGAGCTGGGCTCGCACTGAGGCAGGTCAGGCTCCAGGGCCTGCACTTGTGCAGGGGCCCATGTGCCCCTGCAGTTCCTCTCCTGACAGCACCCTCACACCAAGCACAGGCTCCAGCGCAAGGCAAGCACTCTTTATTGTCAGTGAGATGACCAGGCCAAGCGAGGGCTGAGGCTCCAAGCAGGCCCCAGGCACTGCCCAGGATGCAGGCTCTTCGGTGGCAGAGGGGTGAGGGGGTCAGGCCTCATGACAGTCCTCGGCTCTCACAGCGCCGTGCAAATACAAAGCTAAAAACTTCCTGAATGTCTCTGGCTGGAAATCAACAGGCCCAACAGGTTCCTGGAAAGAACACAGCCTATTAGGATTCTGCTACTAGGTTTCATGGCAGCAATTAACATCAAGGTCGGTTTTATGAGAATCTTACATACTTTTCTCTGACATCACCTCTCTCGTGGACCAAGAAGGGGCACTGAGTAGCTGGCACTGAGGAATGAGGGACTGTGGTTGGGAAGGAGGACAGGAAGCATTCCTGGCACCTTTCAGCCAAATTATCTGTGGACACTGTCCTGCTCCCTAATCCCTCCCACTTCAACCACCAGGAACAAATGGTCTGTTGCCCCCTTTAATCTCAGGGACAATAATCCCTCAGTTTTTCCACACCCATTTATCAGGCACCTGCTCTCTCTGTATCGGGCCTGTGCCCAGTGCTGGAGACTCAGCAGTGACTTGAACCTGATTCCTGTCCTCAAGGCACTTACAGTCAGGCATTCAAATAGTAATAATAAAAGGTGACAGACCTCACTATAGAAGTAGGAAAAGGTGCTAAAAGAGCAGGGGAGAAATGACTAACTCACCCACGTTCACAATGGGAAGGGCAAGTAGAATGGGTCAGAAAGAGGAAGGAGAAGGAGGAGACTGCAGAGAGACCAGCATGTGAGGTGGTGCAGAGGGAAAAGTGAAGACGGGAAGGGCGGGGGCGAGGCTGGAGCCAGGGCTCAGGGCAGAACGGGTGGAGTGGCAGCAGATGACATTGGACAAGTAAGAAGGAGCCGTCTGACCAAACCAGAATTAGTATTCTGGAAGGAAGAGGTTGAAGGAAGACAACCTGAAGACACGAAGGGATGAGGGCGAACACGACTAAGAGCAGAGAGGGTGGAGGTGGCTGTTGTGACCTGGCAGGCGTTTCAAGGGTAGGAACAACATCAACAGACGCTGGAGAACTAAATAAAGAGCTGACATGCTGCTACTGTCCAAAGGTTCAGCAGCTCCATTTAGCAAACCTGTCCTCAGGCCCTGTTGGGACGTGGCTAGTCAGAGACCCAGCAGTGCCCTATCCTACTCTGTTCGCTTTTACCCCTGATCCTGCTTTATGTCTCTGCCAAGTGCTTATCACTGCCTGATGGGACATCATGAATTTATTTAGATATTGTCGCTGCCCAATGCACAAAGCGCAGATCTGGACTCTGTCAGCTGGGCAGCAGGCTGCAGCAGTGACAATGCCACGGGAGGCATCCGTGTCTGTGGAATAAAATGGATGAATGCACCACCCACAGTCCCTGCCCTTGAGAAGCAAGGAGCTCTGCTTGGTAGAGGCAAAAAACACATCTACACAAAAGGAGCAGCATCTGCAAAGGTCCGGAGCTGGATGAGCAGCAGGGAACACTGTGGAGCTGTAAGGAGCTGGGCACGGCTGGAGATGGACGGGGTGCAGAGGGATGCAGCTGAACTGAAGAGCTGAACAGGGCCCAGGGTGGAAGGTGTCATGTTATAGCCGACAGGCTGGGCTGAAGTAGCCCTCTAGGCAGAGATCCTGGGCATGAAGTCCCTGGAGCCAGGGTCCTACTCAGAGCACCCCTTCAACCCCCACCCCCATCCCCCCAGGCTCACCCTGGCTAGCACAAGTCATGGTCCTGTTCCAATCGCCAGGCTGTAGATGGCTGCACTTACCACAAGCACCTTCTTTTTGATCACTGGGAGACACCAAAAATGCTGATAGAGGAGCTGGTCTGAGTCCATCCACACCAAATTCTTGACACCCTCATCAGAGGCCAAATCTGTGGTGTTCAGTTGAAACACCAGGAACTGGAAGACACGTCCATCCGTGCCCACGCTTTGCACAACCACTGGCTGCTCCAAGACCCTGGTGTCATTCTGAGAGGAAAAGGGGAAAACAAGTAAAACAAGTCAAACTGGGGGTACAAGGAGAAGACACCAACCAAGCAGCTTCCAGTTCTGCCCTTTAAAATACCCACCCACTCCCATTTAACAGCTTCACTTTGGGGCAATTAAAATAGAATGAGGAGGGCCGGCCCGGTGGCACACTGCTACAGTGCGCCGCTTGGGAGCGCGATCCCACATACAGACCGGCCGCTCACTGGCTGAGCGAGGTGCGGGCGCAACACCGAGGGTTGCGATCCCGTTGCCGGTCCCGGGCCGGTACGGGCGCAACACTGAGGGTTGTGATCCGTTGCCGGTCACGAAAAAAGACAAAAAGGAAAAAAAAATAAATAAAATAGAATGAGGAGTTGAGGGTACTGCACAGGGCCAAGCCTTCCCTCCCCTGGCCTGGCTCTGCCCTGTGCCTCAGGGCCCCAGCGTGCCTACTCGTTGACTGGAGCACATTAAAGTAATAATTCCAGCCACTGAGAGGTGATTACTGGGCAAACCACAAAACTGCAAAATTCAGGCAGGCAGGCTGGGAGGCTAGTGATGGAAATCCCTCAAACTCATGGAGTTACCTGATGGGGACAACAGTGACATAAGCTGTCAAATGGAGGGTCAATGAATAGATATAATCTCATTCAGTTCTCACTCCATGTGACAGATGAGAAAACTAAGACTCATCAAGATAGAGCAACTTGTCTGAAGTCACAAAGATATGTGGCACTGGAACCCAAACTGGCTTATGCTAGACCATGCACATTTTCTACTTCTGCCTTGCACCTCAGGGCCTGGCATCCCGGACTGCCCTAAGCCAGCAGGCAGACATCTTCCCTGGGCTTCATGTTCTTACTGCAACTCAGAATGTGCCACATTCCTAATATGTCTTTTCAGCCACGTCACCATCAGGATTTCAGCAGTCAACACATTTGCTAATGATCTTTTTCAGTTAGTGCCACTTGGTAATAGTAATAATATTAAAACTATTTACTGAAGGCCACTTAGGTGCCAGGCATCTTGCCCATTTTATATAAGTCACTTCTACTCTCAGAAATCTAGAGGTATAATCCCACTTAACAGATAAGCAAACTGAGGTTCAGAGAGGTAGTATAATTTGCTCAAGGTCACCCATGAGGTATGACCCAGGATCAGACCCCATGCTATGAGTCACTTAAAACCCTACTGCTCTAGTTTACACCTGTTGTCCCACAGTATCTGATAGTAGCACCTTTTTTCATTCCCAATAGTGTCCCAGTTTGGATGATAAATCGTATGGTCAATCTACTGAGACTCTGCAGCAACCCAGCGTGGTGATTGCTACTTATTGGACAAAGATCCAGGAGTCAGGCCCCAGGAAACAGGGCATCCTTGATTCAAAAATGCTGCCTGCATTCACCCCTCCAGGGCTGAATCTGACATTAGGAATAGCTAATGTCAGACCTCAGTGTGGGCCACACTGGGGCTGTTGGCCTTAGAAATCCCTGTTCTTAGCTGCATGAGAAATAAATAAAAAGAAAAGTACCTGTAAGTGTTAGCCAAGCATTCTGTATTGACTCTTATCTCCCTCTACAGATCAATAAAACTGCAGGTAGTACATAAATTTCTCAGCAATTTTACCTTTTACACAGAGGCTCTTCCCATAATTGCTCAAGTTCACATCCCCAGGAATAATCTGTACCTAGAGGGGATGGGGGAATCCTCCTCTCCTACCCAACCAGGTGGCAATTAGTGGCAGCATTGCTACCCAGGCTCTGCTGACAGTAGCTGGTACAGAAGCTACAATGAGCCTGCAGGCCTGGGACCTGGCATGTGACCACCATCTCTGCCTCCTCTCACTGACTGAGTTGGGAAGCAGCACATCCTTCAAAGCTAGAAGAATTACACCTCCAGTCTTTGCTTCCCTGCTCATTAGCTATGGGGTCTTGGGCAAGTTACCTAAACTTTCAGAGCCTTCAGGAAGTATGCAGTCAGAGAATAGGAATAAAAATAACCTTCGTAGAACTGGAAAGACAAGAAGGTCACATAAAGATGTGACAGCTGCTAATCTCCTAGCTGTATGACCTTGAACAAGTTACTTAGCCTCCTGAGCCTCTCAGCATCTGCCACACAGGGTTACTACAACGATTACATAATGCAGTGGTTCTCAAATTTTAGTGCAGTGGCTTTCAAACTTGAGTTTGTATCAGCATCACCTGGGGGGCTTGTTAAAACACTGACTGCTGGGCCCCAATACCAGGTTTTCTGATTCAGTGGGTCTGCGATGGGTCTGAAAATTTGCATTTCCAACAAGTTCCCAGATAACGCTCCTGGTGCTAATCCAGGGCTATACGAGTATTTTGAGAACCAGTGATATAAAACACTATAATGTCTGGCATGTAGCAGATGCTCAATACAGGCAAGGTCTACTCCACTCCCTGTTCATGTGGCTAACCACACCTCCTCAACCCCACCGTATGCCTAGTCCAAGGAAAATGGGAAGCAGAATACTGTGAGTTTTCTCACTCCTCCAGGAGGGCCTTGGGCTCTAACTAAGACCCGGGAGCCCAGCAGCATCTCTCAGAATCACCACCCTCCCCCCCAACAAAAACAGGGATCTGGTATCCCAGGCCTGCTTGGGCAGTCCCACGTGGCCGTTCCCTCCCTGGGGGCCTTTGCTCCTGAGCCAGGCTTCCCTCCAGTTGTAGGGAGCTTTCTGTGACAAGCACTCAGCCTGCATTTTACACACCATCTAGGTCCAAGACCACTTCTTAGGATCAAGGGGCTACCACCCAGCAGTATCTTGGATCCCCAGAACCCATTCTGACTTGGCAGGCAGGTCTGGGCAGCCTCTACTCCTTCACTTTCTTCTGTCTGCCTGACAGAGCTTTGTGCTCCAATCCAGATACTACAGAACAGAGGCAGTGTGCTGGGGCACAAAGAGCTGAAGACTTCAGAGTGAGGTACACCTAGTTCCAGTCCTTTTTCCTCCACTTATTGCTGAGTAACACTGGAGAAGCTGCTTAGTCTCCCTGTGATTCCGTGGCATGATCTGGAAAGTGGGGATCTCAATGAAACCTTGGGGGCTATTGTGATCCACAAATGAGGTATCTGGGTAAAGCACAGGCACACAGTCAGCCCCCAGTGGGTGACGGTTTATCTCAGCAGGGTGAGTGGAAGTGCTTCTCCTTAAAACTCCTCAGTCAAGCAAGGAGTCCCTGCACACCCGCTTCCTCCCTTTGAGCAGTGTCCTGAGGCAGGAGACCAACATCGTGTGAAGCAGCTCAATGGTCTTCTCCACATACATACCCCATAGAGGAGCCGGGCCTGAGCCAGAGCATTGCCAAAAGCAAACAGGATCATCTTGGCCCGAAGCTGATCTGGTCGAAAGCGGTGGGATGCTAAATTGGCTTTCTCCAGGAAATACAGCGTGTGGGGATAGGGGTAAGGATAACCCTCCCGGAATCCTGCAAGATACATAATCATGTGGAGGGGTGTAAAAAATCCATGTCTGTCACAAAGCCTCAGGAAAGCCACCTAACCTTAGTTCAGGGACAGACACTGCAGAGAGACTCAAGATAGATAGATATCATTGTAGTTCAGGGCTGGCAATCTTCAGCCCACTGGCCAAATCTGGCCTGCTGCCTGTTTTTGTAAATAAGGTTTTTACTGGAGCACAACCTTACTCATTTACATATGTCTACCAGGTAGCTGTGACAGAGACCATACGTGGCCTATAAAACCTAAAATATTTACTATTTGGCTCTTCACAGAAAATGCCTGCCAACATGTTACAGGGGCTTTTTGCATGCCGGTTCTAACTCCACCCCTTTCTCATTCAGGTGCACAGATGACAGTGACATTAAAGAATAACTTGAAATCTGTGGTAATTATTAAAAAGAAAGCAAATCATTTGCAAAGTTCATTACTTTAATATTAGTAACAAATGACTTGCCTCATATAACTGAGCTGCACAACACTGGTGCTGAGAATCAAAGTTTAGCACCTGTTCATCTCAGCCATGAGCCTGTCAAGTCATGATTCTTTTCTCCTGCATGGCTATGGGTAACCCTTGGTAGGTTTAGGGCTTCCAGAATAAGTAACCTGGATCAGTGAATATGGATGAAAAGGAGGAACAAAGAGGCTGGGAAAATGTGGGCTCTGAAAATCCCAGAGGACAACACTACTTAAGAGAGAGAGTGGTGGCTGGCTAGCTCACTTGGTTAGAGCATGGTGCTGATAACACCAAGCGCAAGGGTTTGGACCCTTACCAGCCAGCCAACAGAAAAGAGAAAGAGAGAGAGAGACAGACAGACAGACAGAGAGACAGAGAGATGGCCTTCCTGCATGCCCTGGTCCTTCAGTCTGCTCAGTCACTCAGCACTTGTAAATACCTAGCACTCACTGTGCCAAACTCTTAAGACAGGTATCAGGACCACTGGCCAAGCAGAGGCTGCCACTGCCTTTGAGGAGCTCTCAGTCCAGAGGGGAAAACTGATCATATCCATACAGAGAGACATGTCAAGTACGAAATGGATCAGGAGACTGTGGGAGGGTAAATGAAAGTTCCCTGATGAGACTGGAAGATACCAGAGCATTTCAGAGAGGAAGTGATTCCCAAGATGAATTCTGAAAGATGAAGAGCTAGTAAGGTGAAAACAAAAAGGGACGAATGGTCAAGAGTTCTAGGCAGAGAACAACAAATGCTGGTGAGGATGTGGAGCTGATGTTGGTGGGACTATAAATTAGTGCAGCCATTATGGAAAACAGTATGGAGTTTCCTTAAACAGCTACAGATAGAACTGCCATACAATCCAGCAATCCCACTGCTGGGTATATACTCAAAGGAATGGAAATCATCATGTGGAAGGGATACCTGCACTCCCACATTTATGGCAGCTCTATTTACAACAGCCAAGATATAGAACCAACCTGAATTGTCCATCAATGGATGACTGGATAAGGAAAATGTGGTATATATACACAATGGAATACTACTCAGCCATAGAAAAGAATGAAATTCTGCCATTCACAGCTACATGGATGAGCTTGGAGAAAATTATGTTAAGTGAAATAAGCCAGGAACAGAAAGAGAAATACTGCATAGCCTCACTCACAAGTGGGAGCTAAAAAATAAAGAAAGAAAAAGAGAGAGAAAAAGAACAATTACAGTAACATGCTGCACTTTCAGAAAGAGAACACAACTGTGGATACTAGAGGTGGGAAAGGGGGAGAAGAGGTTATCAAGAAATTGGTTAATGGATACAAAAAATGATTACATTTTGTAAGGATGAATATGCTAATTACTCTAATTTGATTATCACACATTGTACACAAGTACTGACAGTCAACTCTGAATCCCACAAATATATATAATTAATTATGTTTCAATTTGAAGAAAAAAAGTTCCAGGCAGAGGGAAGAGGAAGCACCAAATCACAATGGTGAGAAAGGGCATGATGTGCTAAGTGTAGTTGGAATACAGGGGGCAGGTGGGGGATGAGGCGGGGATGAGGCAGAGATGAGGCTGGAGAGAGGCAGGGGCCAGATGTGAAGGCCCTCATGTGGTAAGCTAAGGAGTTCCAGTTTTACCCAATAAGCAATGGGAGGTGGGCATGGAGAGAGATGGGATTAAATGGATGTTTTAGAAAGGCTACTCTGAAATTGTGAACTAGATGGACTGGAAAGAAAATAGCCTGGGGCCAGAACGGGAGGCCGTGGCAACAGTCCAGGTAAGGACAGTAAGGACTGACCTAGGCTGTAGCTGTGAAAGTGAAGAGACACTGCAACTCATAGTAGGAGTGGATGGCAGGAATTTGGGGCCAGCCTAACTGGACTCCCTAGTTTCTGTCTCTGCTAAGCATATGGTGGCACCTCATTTGATAGAGTTTGAATGGCCTCATTTAAGGTCCCTGGGGCTTCCTCAGTCAGAGGAGGTTGGTCACAGTTTACAAGGTGAGTAGAAGGAGGGTGTCTTTCAAGGGACCTATGACTAAAGGAAAAGCCTTGGTCAAAAGACCCTCAAGCCACCCATTAAAACTCTGATGTAAGACTTACTTCTTAGGGGTCAAAAGCAAAGTCAACCTTTCAGCAAATCACTTAACATCCCTGAGTCACAGTTTCCTTCTCTATAACGTGAAGATAATTGTACCTGTCTCAAGGGGCTACCACATGGATCCTAGGACATAACGCACGTGAGGTGCCCAGCAGCTAGTAATTTCTTAGTACATCTGTTCTCTTTGGAAAAAGTATGTCTCTCATCCCCACGCCGCCTAAAAATCAAAGGCTTCAGGGCCGCCCCGTGGCGCACATGGGAGAGTGCAGTGCTTGGGAGTGCAGCCGCCGCGGGTTTGGATCCTGTATAGGGATGGCCGGTGCACTCACTGGCTGAGCGCGGTGTGGGCAACACCAAGCCATGGGTTGCGATCCCCTTACCGGTCACAAAAAGGTCAAAAAAAAAAAACAAAGGCTTCAATCCTTACCTGTGTCATCCTTCACATCATAAACATTGCATTCCTGAAGATCAATAGTGGGAGATATGGGATAGAAGGTCTCAAGAACATGATTCTCAGTAGCTTCAACCTCCTCTCTGGAGGCGATGGGGGGCAGAGGATCCTTGGCACTCAGTCGGGCTCCGCTAGAACCACGAACCTGAAGGAGAATAGACTCTAAAATGGGAGAAAGACAATTAGTCTAACTTGGTCTAAAGCCTTTTCTCAGCTCAGCCAAGTCTAAAGCCTTCCCCCTTTCATGCGTCGAAGTCCTTCACACACTTCTAGATGATCAGCCTAAGCACAGAACACAACTTTGCCTTAGGATGTTAAGCCGGGGATCCTTGTGAAGAGGATAACCAACACAGTCTCCTTATGTTCTCTTGCCAACAAACCCTGAGCCCGGTGGTCTCTGAAGGCTTAGGTTTGCCCCACACAGATCTTCCCAAGCACTTGCCCTAAGCTGGGGACCCAGAGATGAGTGAGACTTACTCTCTGCTCTCAAGGAGCTCACCAGGTAGTCAGTGCTGCAATGAAAAATCTGAACCGTATTTGGAAATAATATAGGCAGGGAAAAATGACCTTCTCTGGAGGGCCTAGGAAGCTTCCTGAAAGAAGCAATGCCTTAAAACTACGTTTTCAAGGACAGAGTAAGAGCAGGGTCTCTCAGCTTTGGCACTATTCACATTTTGGAGCAGATAATGCTTTGGTGAGGGGCTATTCTGTGCATCGCAGGATGTTTAGCAGCATCCCGGGCATCTACCCACAAGATGCCAGTGGAACTCGCTCCCCATCCTACACGCCCCCATCCAAGGCATTTCAATCAAAAATGTCTCCAGACATTTCCAAATGTCCTCTACATGGCAAAACTGTCCCTGGTTGAAAACCACTGGGTAAGAGTTGCCAGGCAAAGAAAGAGGAAGAAAAGCATTCTAGTCAAGGAGTAACACGTGCAAAGGCCCCACAGCAGAGTGTAGAGAAATTAATCCAGATGCTAGAGTATGACATGGTAGGGAAGCAGGGATGGAGAGAGAAGCCCTAAGAACTAGGGGTGAGGAGAAAGGCTATTAAACCCAGGGAAAGGACAAGATTGTCCTCAACAACTGACAGTGAAAAAAACTGGGCCAGTCAGAAAGCTTCACTTCAGTCAGACTAGCAGATGTGCTACATGGAGATGTGGGTGGTATGAGGAAACAAACTCACTCATCACAAGCCTGCCACTGTGAATGTGTACAGATGCCCTTCACAGTGGTCCCTATGGGAGGCCACATGCCACCACCAGACAAAATGTGCCTGGAAAGACTCCTTGAGAATGGCCTCTGAGGAGTCTTCATGGAGGCAAATCTTCCTCTGAAGGGGCTTTGGTTTTTAGAAGTAGTCACATCACAGAGTGATGGTAATGGATCAAGGTTGCTTTTCTTTTTTTTTTTTTAATGTTTACTCCTTTATTACAATGGATATTACAAATAACACAGATGAAGAGATGCATAGCGCAAGGTAAGCTGAAAGGGGCACGGAGCTTCCATGCCTCCCCAGGTGCACCACCCTCTAAGAACCTCCACATGTTCGCCTATCCAGGACTCCAAGGCTGGTTTTCTTTTTTTTTAGCAGCTGTCTGTGGAAGAGGGATTGAACCTGAACCTTGGTGTTATCAGCACCATGCTCTGACCAACTGGACTAACCAGCCAGCCCTGCTTTTCTTGTATGTTTAAAAATTGGTTTGGTGAACAGTAGTGTCATATACTTAGTGTTTGGCCTCCTTTACTGGGTATGTAAAAAACAGACTACATCTGTAGGATGGATGAACTCAGACCTGTTTGTTAAAATACATCACACTCACACCTCGAGAATAGTTTTCTAAACTACTTCCTGTTTTCTCACATATAATCTACAAGGAAAATAAATGTGCCTGGACCTCTCCTAACCTTGGGTTTTAGATTCTCCCCACAGACCACTCTAGTGTGGTTTCTAATTCAATTCCCTCCACATCTCTCCTCCAGTGACAGCTCCAAAGGGGCAGTTTAATTAGAGGTAATACTTGATGATGGGCCAACAAGTACTCCTCTATTAATGAGGTTCACTAATTTCCTTAGTGGTGCCATTACCTCTGCAAAGCTGACTCCTTGCCAGAAAGTCCATACACAAAGGGGCAAGCTGGAGAAACCTGACCAAGCAGATGTCCCAAAATTCCAAATTATTCCCATAGCTGGTTTCCCTGCTCCAGGATTCCACCAGTTAGAACACCTGAGAGTTGGTATTCATTCATCCATCCCTTCAGTCAGCACCTACTGTGTGCCATGAACTGTTAGACATTGTGGGCAAAAGGAGTAAGGCATGGTCCCTGTCATCAGCAGTTCACAGTTTAGTGGGGCAGACAGAACAGACAATATAGAGCAACATGTGCTACGATGGCAGAATGGATATAAGGAATACAGAGGAGAAACAGCCAGCCCAGTCTGGATCCACAAAGGAAAGGGGCTTGAGTGGTTTTGCAGATAAGCAGAATTTAGTCAAATGAGGAGAGTGGAAAAGAGCATTTCAGACAGAATGCACAGCATGTGCAAAGTCACAAAGGAGTGAACACTTGAGGCCAAAAAGCTGCAAGTCGCTAATTTAGGGATGGAGGGCAGTGCAAGGATGACAGGGCAGTAAAGCAGGAGATAAGACTAGGAAGACTAGATGGTGGCCAAATCACAGAAAGCCTTGTATACCGTGATAAATGGTTTAAGCTACTGGGAGACCGTGAAGAATTTGAAACAGGCAAGGGACATAAAAAGACTCGTACTATAGAAAGATCACTCTAGCAGCTATATTGAAAATGGATTTGAAAGAGTAGAGAAGTGTGAATTGGGTAAGAAGGCTATTGCAATAAAATATGAGCCTTGTGAGGACAGAGACTTATATGTGCTTTATTATTTCCTTATCTTCAGCATTTAGGCACTCCCAAGCACATCACAGGCACACAATAGATATAGCTGACTGTTAATGGTTGAATTAACAGTCTTAGAAAGAAGTAATAAAAAACAAAAAAAGGGCTAATGATACTGAGGATGTGTCTGAGCCTACAAACTTGGACCATGAAGGACAGGAGTGAGGACAGGTATTTGCGGGGAGGGGATGTGAGCTCGTGGGCGGACTAAAAGAAAGAACAGACCAGAGGATGTGTCTGAGCCTACAAACTTGGACCATGAAGGACAGGAGTGAGGACAGGTATTTGCAGGGAGGGGATGTGAGCTCGTGGGCGGACTAAAAGAAAGAACAGACCAAGGCTTTCTGGTGATGTACAAGATGACCAACCTCGATTCCAGGTGGTGGATAAAGTGTAGTTTTGGGCAGAGATCCGCCTGGCCAGGGAAGGATGCTTGATAATCTGGGATTTACACAGCTGTATCAGACTGTCCACAATGACTGGGCTTGGAGAAAAAAAGAGACATTTGGGAACTTAAAGCAACAAGTTGATTCCAAGATCCATTTGTTGGAAATTGTATTTACTTGGGGGAACTTACCAGTAGGTCTCTCTCTTAGGGATGTCCTCAGTGCAGTGCCAGAGACGGGCGTGAGAGATCATGTTGAGAACGCGCTCGTCTTGGTTCTCTATGTGGTTCCTAGGATCTTCAACAAGGCTAAGCACTTTCTCAGGAAGGCCTTCTATTAACTTGGTCTTGGTAAGCCAGAGGGCCTGCTTTACACCTTGGGAGTAACCAGCCAAAAACACAAAAAGGAAAAAAGAAGATGATTCAGAAAGAGATGCTTATGTCTGCCAGGTAGCATCTTGGGGAAAGGGGTATCTCAAGAAAGAGACTGGATCTGCTCTGTGGCACCTGAGGGGACAGAAGCAAATTCCAAGAGTTTAAGCTAGGAGAGCCAGATTTCAACTCAACTTCAGGAATGACTGTCTACTTCAGGATGGTTAACAGTTGATTGGGGCAGTGAGCGCCTGCCACAGGAGGAATTCAAACAGCAGCTAAGACAGCTGAGATCATATGACTGAATCCTGCAGGCAGTGGATAGACCCCAGACTATGGGAGTAGATCAATGGATCTCGACCCTTCACTTAAGATCCTTTCTATTAACCCACACCCCCGCCACAACTAGAAAAGCCTGTGTACAAAATATACCTCATTTATTAGGTGTGGGCTCAGGATTAAGCCCATGCTGCCTTATCAAGGGACAGTTGCTTTGGGAAATAATAGCAATAACTTCTGAATCTTCATGAATAACTGAAGGAGCCCTGATTTTAAGACCATGTAAACAGATAGTTTTTCACATCTCATCTAACCCTGTGATTATAAAATGAGCTATTTTATAAACAGATGTTTGTATGAACCAGTTCTATGAAACATACTGCTGTACTTGTCAAAAGGGTCATACTGAGGATGTTCTATCTCTGAAACCTTCTGAACCTCTCTCTGGCCTTAGTACTGAAAGGTTGGGCTTTTCCTGGGTACAGAACTATTTTGTCTCATGGACATAGTGAACTGCATAACCAAAAATATTTTTCTCTATACCATGGGTCAACAATTATTTTCTTAACGGGCCAGGTAATAAATATTTTCATTTTCTGGGCTACATAGTCTGTCACAACCACTCAAATCTATCATTGTAGCACGAATGCAGCCACAGGCAATAATTAACAAATGCACATGGTTTTGTTCCAATAAAACTTTATTTACAAAAACAGGCAGCTGGCCTAATTAGCTTACCCCAGCCCTATACCATTTGTTGACTGTTAGCAAGCTCAGAGCCAAGTTTGGGGATCCCCTTTAGCAAGTAGGCCTGACAGAATAGATGTTTTGTATTCAACTCACTGTTCTATTTTTCCTTTGTGCTGATTCCCTCACCTACCTATTTTTAATTTAATCTGGTTGTACTGTAAGATTTTTGTAAGCTGCCCAAATACTTTTCAGGAAAAGATGATATATAAACTAAAATAGATTCACTTCAGACTGACTGAGTCTTTAAACATTAA